ATAGGGCGATTGTGTTTACTCTTTTTCAACCGACCTTCACCTCAAAGAAATTGTCTAATACATACAACAATGTTGACGTGTGACATCACAACCGATGACTGATTCCTTAGAAAATGGCGACTTCGCTGACAAGGGTACACTGGATTTTGCGAGGACTCTTCCCTTGATTCAGGGATCGTTTGTACATAAATATGAGTAAGTAATCAGAAACAGTGGCCTAGTGGCTGCAAGAGTTGTATGATCCCCAGCGAGTTGAGATTGATAATAATGTGCCGCTGAGATTGACATCCAATGATGGAGGGGAAAACAAACAAGGGCTTTGAGCATGCATGTGGGATGGACTGTAGCCCTGTATAAATACCAATATTAATAAATAAAATAGTACAATAGTTTACTAACAGTTTATTTAATCTATACACACAAAAAGTAGACAACAATATGAAATAACTAACATCAGTGCAACAGGTCCCGCCCAGTCTGTTATCAGCTGATGTTGAAACAGCTAGCCACAAGTGGGTGTTGGTTTCTGTCACTTTGTTGATAATTGATTTGCTACCCAATCACGTGACATTGAATCTCACACAGTTTACCCACATATCTTTCCATGAATGCATGACATTATATTGCAAACTTTGGAAAGTTTCAACAAGAAACACGAAATATTTATTGGTGTCTTTTGTTCTATGGCGATCCATTTTACAATGCTTCTGTGGCAAAGTAGAAGTTTCTCTTCATATTCTCTCCTTATTCAGCACTTTTTGGTTGTGTCGAACCGTGGATAACTTAGAGTATTCATAAATGTCCTTTCACCTTCGATGCAACAGTGTGCATTATTTAGATAATAAAACTGGCCTACTATTTTATCTTCAAAAACTGACAGATCCTTTACATTCCTATAGATAACATCAACAACAAAAGCTTTCCCTTGATGGTTAATTAGTAATTATAATGGGTTGGTATGTTGTTGTTTAACGCCGCACACTGCAATATTTCAGCTATATGGTGGCGGTCTGTAAATAAGTCTGGACCAGACAATCCAGTGATCAAGAGCATGAACATCGAACTACGCAATTGGGATACGACGTAGTACCGGAAATATAAACCAGCCCAGACACAAACACAAACAAAGCAGTCACCTCAAACAATGTAAGATACTGCTATATTATCATGGTGTCATGTCACCAGGACTAAAAACATGATCTGTGGCTGAAAGAGGTTGGTGATATATATCATGACTGAATAGAGATATAATACCCACATCATAATTTGGATGGAGTATGTGATTCTTATGATAACGTGCCTTTTCCATCCAAAATATTTTCAGGATGTGATGTAAGAATGTTCAAGATCTTGCTTTGCTTATCATCGTAGATTTTCCACAGCCAAAATATAGATCTTGATCTTTTCAATCTCAGCTTTCAACTTCTGACTCTGAAAATAAACAATAATACATCTGTTTATTACAGCATGCCGTTTAAAAGATAAAACAGCTGTATTGTTGAACTGATAACCCCCAAAATTCTGTGGAATTGCGATCTTTTTGTAAACTGGAAGTGATTGAATCCTGTAGAATCTGATCAACTATCCCCTGTCCTCACCTTCTCCACCAGTTTGTGTGTCACCAGCTTGTCATCTGTCCGACTCATCCCCAGGTTTACTCGCTCCAAATCACTCTCAAGTTTACGCTGTCTGTTTTTCAGCTTGGGCAGGTGCTCTTGTGGATTGATGACGTCCTGGACAAACAGAACACATGCATCAGTTTTCACATGTCTTGGTTCATCGATTTGCGTCTGGGACAATTCCAAAATTCCTCCAAATTATAAGAGGTGTGAGATCTGCCTTTGATGGATGAAAATACTAACAGAGACAAAACTACAAACACGTAAACAAGAGAATTTAATTCATAGCTGATCAATTGTATTTATACTACTGAAAAGAAATTCCCACTGGGAGTCAGGCATAAGGTAGTGAGGGCATATTTGGACCCAACATCCCTGCTGAGAAACAGGATGGGGTACTGGGGAGCCATATTGACCATTATGAGACAAGAAAGGTGATTGGGGTTTCAGATTGACTTGGAATCAAATGCACATTAGAATAGATTTGTAACAGTTAGAGCTCTTAGATGTCTTTGAGCTGGATTGGGGGTCAAACTTTGGGATCAGGATCTGGGATCAAGGTCCATTATCTGAGGCCAGAGTTAACATCAGCACTAAAAATCATTTTGTGGAACAGTTCTTGAGGAGATCAGCTTCAGATCAGTTTCCTTTTGTAAGTCACCTTCAACACTACAGCCAGACAGCATGTGTCTGACACCTGTATTTGCAGACATCCATCTGGCACTCCCTGTCTGTCAGACACCAGACTGAAGTCACTAGCTCTGGACAGTGTCTGAAGGCTGAGTCTGAAGTCAGACAACTGGTGTCTCTCGGTGGCGTCTGTACACACCAGGACGTCTGCAGCAAACCATGAAGCCATTAGCAGTCAAGATGGACATGCAGAAGATTTCTAATTATTCATGAGTGTTCATTTCTACTTTGCCATCAGTGTCAAGGATTCTAAATTCTGGGTACAGCATTCAGAATTCCCATTTGATATCTGTATCTCAATCACTCTAGCCTTCGTCCCACATTAGGGGCGGTGGGGTAGCCTAGTGGTTCAAGTGTTCGTTCGTCACGTCGAAGTCCTGGGTTTGATTCCCCACATGGCTACAATGTGTGAAGCCCATTTCTGGTGTCCCCTGCCGTATTATTGCTGGAATATTGCTAAAAGCGACATATACTCACTCCTCCCACATTAACCTGAGATTTCATGATAGAACTGAAATACTGTTCAAAGCAACACATACTCGCCCTTGATTACAAAGAGAAACACAGACAGGCAGATATGAATGGAAGTAATTACAGCCGTATACCATATTATTTTTCTCACTGTGTACCATGACAAGTTCAACCAATCACAGATTACTGTCCATTGTTATTGTAATTGAATAAAAAAATCTTAATCCCGATCGTGAAGCAGAAGACATTGGAAATGTTACATTCGTCCACAAGTGATTTGGTGAGGGTAAAATGCAAATCAATTTCAAGGGTTATCTCCCTTGACAATTATTTCTTTTAGGATTATGAAATAACAGACATGGTGAAGACTATTGAGAACCTACTTGGAGCTCTGGTCTTGGTCAGATTCAGCTCTTTCCTGACAGACAGAGAGTGGTAGGCGATGTCCCTCACGGTGGCCATGGTGCTGTCCAGATCAGCACTGCTCCATTGGTACTGAAATATCAAACAGTTGTCAAAATATGTTCTCAGACCTTTTGTGTTGTTGTTAACACAAGCAATATTCCATTGTACAATTGGGGCTGATCATAGTAATGTCTGGATTACATAATCCAGTGATTGATATTATGAACACTGATCCACATCATAAAGTGAGTGAGTGAGTTTAAGTTTATGCCGCTTTTAGCAATATTCCAGCATCATCATGGCGGGGCACACCAGAAATGGGCTTCACAGGCTTGTGCCTGTGTGGGGAATCAAACCCAGGTCTTTGGCGAGACGAGCGAACTCCTTAACCACTAGGCTCCCCCACCACCCCCACATAATAAAGGTTTGATGACACACAACAAACCAAACCACTGAGCTGGACCACCTAATCCATTAAGTAACATCTTACAACCAGACAGGGGCAATGGGGTAGCCTAGTGGTTAAAGCGTTCGCTCGTCACTCCGAAGACCCGGGTTTGAATCCCCACATGGGCACAATGTGTGAAGCCCATTTCAAGAATCCACACAGACTTGAGTAGCATCCTACAAAATTCACAACAGTGCTCTGTTTTGCGTAAGATGACAGTACAGGACTAATAAAAGCATTTAGAACTTGCACTGGTGCAACCTGAAACTGCTAAGTGCAGCCTCGTATGTATATCAACTTGACCCAGTGCATGTTAATATTTTGTGTTCAAAGAACACAGACTTCAGCTGGAAAACATAATGATGAGGAACTGACTTGGAACAGTGACTCTGATTATTGTAGGAACAGTGACTGAAGGACTTACTGTTCATGAAAGTTTAGGAAGTAAGATAACAACAGATTTCTTTTGTCGTAACACGGTTCTAAACCGTATTTACCAAAACTCAAGCATTATATCAGATTTTATATTAAGCAGCAAGTGCAACCTGTTTCTTGTTTGGTGCAACAATGTGACTGCTTCAGGTTGCACTGGGTGCAAGTAGGCTTCATTTCCTTAAATTGACCCCTGCGGTATGATATCGAGAAAGTATTATTGAGAGAATTAACAGCATGGTCAAAACAAGATCCCAGTCAAAACACAGAGGTAAAAATAAGGTCACAACATATAATTTCTGGAATATATTTGTCTTGAGTCTTTGATTTTTACAACAAACTAATGTCTTACCAAATTTCATTACATTCCAACAAGAAAAGGGTGGGTTAAGGCAATAAATAGAATTTTAAATTTGACAAAATACATTGATTTTTCTCAGCAACCTTACATTGCCCCATGCTCTCAACAGGTAATGAAGCCTGTCCAAAAGGTGGGAAGTATTGTATCTCAAATTCAACAGAACTACAGACTATATTTCAAGTGTACAAGTATGATCACATAATTTGTTGGCATTTTAGAAGTCGATGAGTAAGAAGAAAGTACGATACTTGATGGATGACAACTTCTATATTATATTATGATGTGACATTAAGGTATAGGTTCTTATACTGTTGTCACACAGTCTTGCTTAATATCCCGAAAGGAATCTATGCTGGAATGTATAGGGAGTTGCCATGCAACAAGAGGATGTGTTATGCTTATATTAGTATTCATGCTTACATCTTCGGGTTGGGGATACTGCGCCACACAAACACTGACAGGCCAGTTGTCTCCCCTTGCCGGCAGACGCTGGAACAACTCTTCAGACAGGAAAGGCATGAAAGGACTGATTGCACGAAGATATGTCTCTACACAGTGGTACAGCACTTGTCTAACATTGTCCTGCTCAGACTGGGCCCCAGACCGGGAACACTGGCTTCACACACTCCTGGCAAAGACATTTAAGGGTGAAAATATACATGTTAAGCTGCAAGACTAGTTAGATGGGCTGTATTCTGTTTTAAACAGTAGTTTGGTAATATGACGGCAGGTCTGCTTAAAAAAGGGAGGAAAGCCCTTAGTCATGCAGATACATCGCTGATGATGTCACAATGGTCTGCAAAGCATTGTGATGCTTCATCTCAAGCTAACAGGCTGGATCAAACTACATCACTGACTACAAGTAAATGTTGATGAAATAATGACTGGAATCAGAACTGTGCATAGAACTTCAGAACTGTCTCATGCAGGGACAGAATTATCAGTTTATACTTACCAAATATACATCGCTAAATTCAGTCAACCAGAACTGGTGAAGTGCCCTGGTCACATGATGCAGGTCATAAGTGGCAAAGTTTACATCACATGACTTGATCATGTGACTTAGTCGACTGAGTATCCACAGGTCAGTACCAGAATAGGTTCCCTTGAACTGAAACACCAATACATGAGTGAGTGAGTGATATTTAGCTATATCACCATATTACCTGTAATAAAACCTACAAACACCTTTAAATTCCACAAACAAGGGCTTATAAATGCCATACACAATAAGTTAATTTGTTTTCAGGGATCACCTGATATCAAATACTTCAACCTGAACTGTCTAAAATTTGGATATGGGAGCAGGGCCCTTAACAGGGCCCTTGAACGATGCCAGTTACTTCATCTATGAGTGAGTGAGTTGAGTTTTAATGTTGCTGTTACACCATATATGATGGCAAGACAATTAGACAATTTTTATTTGTTCTATTTGTGCATACTGGTACTAGTGAGTGAGTGAATTTAGTTTTATGCCACACTCAGTAATATTCCAGCTATATGGCGGCGGTCTGTAAATAATTGAATCTGGACCAGACAATCCAGGGATCAACAGCATGAGCATCGATCTACGCAATTGGGAACCGATGACATGTGTCAACCAAGTCAGCGGGCCTGACCACCCGATCCCGTTAGTCGCCTCTTACGACAAGCAAGGGTTACTGAAGATCAGTTCTAACCCGGATCTTCATGGGTGCATACTTGTACTAAAACATTCAGACGGGAAAATATCATGTAACTTATCCCAACCTTGCAATACTAAGAAATATGATATACACGGTACCTCCAAGCCAGCCCCTGGATGAAAGCCCTCATCCAAGTTGGTCTGCACAAAACGGAACGCCTGCCATACTTTGTTACAGAAATGTCGGTAGTTTCGGGCATGAGTGATGTCCATGTTGATTTCACCAGCTGTACAGTACAGGAAAATATAGGAATAAATGAATGTTGTTTTATGCTTGGATGCTTGAACAGCATTTAGTTAACAACAACACGGTAACACAACAACATACGGATTTACAACTTCTTTATTATTTACAACACATCATTTCTGGGCTACTTCTTGCCCCTTCATCAGGTGAATGACAATATGATTTACAAGCAAAATATATAGTGCGTACAGGAGATGGGATTAAAGATTTAGACTGCAATAAACAGCAATATTATATTCTGTAAATCAATATATGGACTTGGCATTTTCAAACTTTTCTGAATAAAGAAGCACAAAACAGCAGTAACTGGCCAAACACCATTATCTATGCCAGCATCAGTTTTCTTATGCTAAAGCACAACACACAGATTTGCTTTTATTATACAGCATAGCTAGCATTCTCCATTTGGAGTGAGTGAGTGAGTTAGGTTTAATGCCTCACTCAATAATATCCCAGCTATATGGCAACAGTCTGTAAATAATCAAATTTGGACCAGACAATCCAGTGATCAACATCATGAGCATAGATCTACGCAATTGGGATACGATGACATGTGTCAACCAAGTCAGCGAGCCTGACCACCCGATCCCATTAGTTGCCTCGACAAGCATCGGTTACTGAAGATCAATTCTAACCCGGGTCTTCACGGGTTCTGCATGTATATTTTGATCCCAGTTGGTGCAGTGTGTGTGTCTGCACTGGGTGATGGGTTGATATTCTGCTAGCCCTCTGGTGAATGGCTAAAAGAGTGAGTGAGTATGGTTCTACGACGCTTTTAGCAATATTCCAGCAATATCACAGCAGGGGACACCAGAAATGGGCTTCACACACTGTACCCATGTGGGGAATCGAACCCGGGTCTTTGGCGTGACGAGCTTTTAACTCCTTAACTACTAGGCTACCTCACCTCCCCATGTGGGGAATAGCTAAAAGAAGTAGTAGAGGCTAATTGTTGAAAACAGTGCAGACAAAGTCTGTTATACTAGGACTGTTGCATTTCTTTTTTTAATTCATCTTCAATTTTAAAGTAAATTTGACAAAAATTTATCACCAAATGAGTTTGTCACAATGTTATATAATTTCAGAGTACACAAACAATAATAATGCTTTTTGTGTTGAAGTTTTTCAGATAGGTGAGGTGAAGTGAGGTGAGGTGAGGTGAAGTGAGGTGAAATGGGGTTTAACTTTGTGTTTGAGAACACTTGCTCATATGACGACATGCATGCATGTGTATGTGTATGTGTGGCTGCTTGTACAAGCCCAGACTGAAGCGGGTTTTATAGTGCTAGCCCACTGAGATATCATGCCGCAGTGAAGCATGAATACCCCACTCACACACATTATACTGACTCCGAGCTGATCAGTCCTATTGTACCCATTAATGCTGAGCGCCAGGCAGGGACCAACAAGTACCATCTTTTGGTATGACGCGGTTGGGGTTCAAACCCCCGACCTTCCGCTCTCTGGGCGGATGCTCTAACCACTACACCACAGAGGCGGTCTTTTCAGATACCCTATACCCTCAGAATCTAACTGTTCATGTGATAAAGTCAGTGGTCCTGGGGTAAACTGTTTCTCTTCATCCCATAAGAAGCGTATAGTTAATATCATTCAGGTAGAATATCAAGTAGTTCTTACAACACTGGTGAACACAAATAGCATTCTTTCCCTGAGTGTGGAAATGTGGAATGTACTTACATTTGAAGTCATATGAGCACAATGTGAACCGGAGAGCATCGGTACCACACTGGGGGATGCCCTGAGGGAAATCCTTCTGCTGACCTTCAGATGCCCTCTTGACCTCTGAGGGGTCAAGGTTACTTTTCTTCAACTGTTCTTGTAGATCCTGCACAATTTTAAATTATTTTGTATTCACTAGACTATAATAGTTGAGGATAGTTTTCATATTATATTGGTACATGTATACATTTTTTATATGGCATGGTCATTAACAGAACCACAAGCCCTCCACTCTCTGTCTAGACAGGGGCGTTGGGGTAGCCTAGTGGTTAAAGCGTCCACCCCTCACGCCGAAGACCAAGGTTCGACTGCCCACATGGGTACAATGTGCGAAGCCCATTTCTGGTGAAATTGCTGGAATATTGCTAAAAGTGGCGTAAAACTAAACTCACTCTGTCCAGACACCATATCCACTTAGCCATGTGGTAGTCTCTTTTATTTGAACCACAAAGCAAAGGTATAGTGCTGACATATCATAAAGGTGATAATCAGGACAATTATTGGATTTAATAAAATCAGCAGATCCTGGTGCAGCTAATGGGCACAACTCTGCACGGTCAGCTTGATGGTGTTGAATAGCGTTAGATGTCTATTCTTAGATAAACTTGGACTTTAGTTTGTTGTTTCACGCCACACTCAGCAATATTTATCTTTATCATGGCAACCTGTGAATATTTCAGCATTAGACGAACCAATGAGATATTATACTGGAAGCAACCAACCAAACTGAAGCATAAGTTCCTAGGACCAATTCTCATCCATCATCCCGATGGATGCACATTCCTGATGTCTTCATACAACAAGACTGATGACATACCTGTAAAGTGGTTCCATGTATAACGTCCATCGGGTCTATCACATTGCCAAGGGACTTGCTCATCTTTCGACCGTGGGAGTCTCGCAGGATTCCATGAAGGAGAACCTTTAACAGATAGATTTACAATGTTGCTGTTCTGTGCAATGTCACTGATTAGATGAGGTTAAATGTCACTGTCAACAGGATATTCAGTCCTAAATATGAAGTGATCTTGAAAGTGAGGTGAGGTGAGGTGAGGTGAAATTGTGTTTAACGTTGTGCTTGAGAATATTTCGCTCATATGACGACGTGCATGCGTGTGTATGTGTATGTGCGGCTGCTTGTACTAGCCCAGACTGAAGCTGGTTTTATAGTGTTAGCCCACTGAGATACCATGCCACAGTGCAGCATGAATACCCCACTCAGACACATTATACAGACTCTGAGCCGACCAACAAGTACCATATTTTAACGTCTCTTGGTATGACGCGGTCGGGGATCGAAACCCGCGACCTTCCGCTCTCCGGGCCTTCCGCTCTCTCGTGGGTTTCGATCCCACCACACCACGGAGGCGGTCTGATGTTGAAGGAGTAAGTATATACTCCGAAACCTTGTGTTCCTAATAATAAAGAAGGTGACATCAATAAAATTTGCTTCTCTGAGATGGGACCGTGAAGATCTGGGTTAGAATTGATCTTCAGTAACCCTTGCTTGTCGTAAGAAATGGTCGGGATCGGGTGGTCAGGCTCGCTGACTTGGTTGACACATCATTGTATCTCAATTGCGTAGATTGATGCTCCTGCTGTTGATCACTGGATTGTCTGGTCCAGACTTGACTATTTACAGACCGCAACCATATAGCTGGAATATTGCTGCGTGGCTTAAAACTTAACTCACTCACTCACTCACTCCATAAGATGGTTAAAAGTAAACTACTCTACCTCTTGGAACGGGAGCTGATTTGTGAGTTTGAGTCCCATCATGACCATCCGTGCAACCCAGAAAAATAGAATGTCACTTCCTGTTTCCAACAGACTTGTGGGATAGAAATGAGTAAGGTCAGCATTCTGAAACATGAAGACGAGGAATAGAATAGTCTTCAAAGGAATCAGACTTGTGTAATAAGCACCTTATGATATCGTTTAGATCTAAACCAGGTTCAAAAAACGAACACACCAAAACAGTTTCCTGACTTTTTCCAAAGGATCACCACTGGATAAGGATACAAAACTTAAGCTCCTGTCAGTGATATCAATGTGACCTGCGAATATTGTTGATTGGTGCCTCAAGTCTGGGCATGAACGGCCTTCACCCCTGGTCTCACCTCTTGCGGCCAGCCGTGTACGGAGAAGGGGAAGATTGCTGAGGAAAACCAGGTGTCGAGGACATCCTCATCTGAAACAACCAGGTTCACGAGGATCAATAAGTAGAACTTTATATAGAGCTGCCTTCTCTGAGCGGTAAGCCAAAAGCATTACCATATTTGAGCCACGACTGAGAGGCTACAATGCCTGTAGGTTAATTGTTATATCTTACTAAGTGTTTTCATAATGTTGGGCATGAGGCATTTACACACGCACACACATGCATGCATGCACGCACGAACGCACACACACACTCTCAAAAGAGGTAAAAGGACACATGATGTGACTATAGTTATGACTGATAATCGCATGACAGCATATTAGGCATATTTACATAAATCATAGTTTGTTAACGTCTTTTTAGCAATATGCATTATGTAAAAAACACAGCAAACTATTAATTGACTTCAATCTTTGGTTGGAGTAGATATATGTTCAGGACAGGAAAGGCAGAACAGTATTACCACAGCAGAGGTCTTTGGGGATGATAAAATAGGATGACACATGTACTTGTTGTGATTAACAAAACCTGTAATCACTGTATTGCTTACTTTTACATCATTACTTTCAAGTTGTGTGTTGAACACAAAAACAAACTAAAGACATCCTTGACACTGTTTTTATGATGTTCAACACCCATAAATTAAAGTATCACAGCTATTTGTTATGAGACATACTGATAACATAATCTAACCCGTGCATCTTCATCAATACAGTCTCAGCTTGATTGCAGTGATATTTATTTTTTGTTTTATTTCCACTTCTAATCTTATCCAATATAAAAGCTATAAGTAAATCTAACTTTCATTGAACTGATACATAATCTCCGCAACATAAATTATTTTTTGTCCAATAAACACCTTGCTGCAGAGTTATCTCCCCTTCTGTGACAGGCAGCATCTCTGCAGCTTTCCTTCTGGCCTCATCTTCTGTCCGTCCACTCACCCAGATAGTCTCACCCTGGCAAACAGGGAGTTGAGTAAACACTGTTCAGAATATTATCTAATACCTACAACAGTGTCACAACAAAAGACCAACTTGATACTTCCGGAAAAACTCATAACATTTCTTCTTTCATGGAATGTAATCATACTTGTGAAAAGGGGTAAAATGACATTCTGTAAGTTCTGTAAGTAAGGTACCATATGTTATTAGTGAGTCTCCAGTAACCCATGCTTGTCGTAAGAGCCGATTAATGGGATTGGGTGCAATCGTATCCCAGTTGCTTAGATATGATGCTCATGTTGATGCTCATGTCCAGCCAGATCAGGGCTGGTAACTTCAAAATGTTACCAGTCCAAAATGGATTTAACCAGACTAAAATATGTTGAATTTACCAGATGTTGACCTGCTATACTCATTCATCCACTGACCAATTCTATATTATACCGGGTCAAGAAATCTTCACCTTACGGGCAACTAAAAATCAAACATAATTAGTAAAACTGTGCTCCTTGACCATTTTCTCCCCTTGATCAATCTGTAACTGACCCAAGAGAATACCATTCATCCACTGACTTTATGCTGCTGAGAAACCTATTCATTTTATATTATACTAATTCTGGTCATTAGAAATAAATGCCTCAATTTACCTTAAATATATTCCTGGGATAGATATTAGCTTTTCAAGACATAAATAAATAAGCTGGTGCATCACCTGGTAGGCAGGAATCCGGTGTCCCCACCACAGCTGCCTCTATTATAATTAACTTGTTATACACCAACTTAGTAAAGTTTGTTAGCTAATCCTGTGCCAAGATGTGGAGGAAAGATCAGTGACCTTGTAACCTTGACCTTGTTTCAGGTCAACCAAAATATGAAACTTCCTTATTAGTCTGTTTCTCACTGGATTGTCTGGTCCAGACCTGATTATTTACAGACCACCGCCATATAGCTGGAATATTGCAGAGTGCCTCTTATGACAAGCATGGGTTGCTGAAGACCAATTCTAACCCGGAACTTCACGGGGCTGTGCTCCTTGACCATTTTCCCCCTTGATCAATCTGTAACTGACCCAAGAGAATACCATTCATCCACTGACTTTATGCTGCTGAGAAACCTATTCATTTATATTATACTAATTCTGGTCATTAGAAATAAATGCCTCAATTTACCTTAAATATATTCCATAGGTAATATATACTGGGAATAGATATTAGCTCACCTGGTGCATCACCTGGTAGGCAGGAATCCGGTGTCCCCACCACAGCTGCCTCGATACACACCAATCCCTGTGGAGGAAAGATCAGTGACCTTGTAACCTTGACCTTGTTTCAGGTCAACAAAATAACAAACTTCCATTAGTCTGTTTTCTTTCTTTTCATAACACATTTGACAGACATTATCATTTGAAAGTTTGCAGCATAATCCCATTTCCCAGAAATTTCATATCTGAACAACAAACTTTAACAGTAAAATAAGTAAATTAAACTTATTTTACTGGTAAAATTTGTTGTTCAATGCCATATTTTACAATATTTAAAGCAGTCTGTGGATAAAATAAGTTGTTCACTGTTCTCGATGGGGGACATGGGCTGATGTATCCTCGATGTTTGTTTATGCTCCCTAAGCCCGAAGGGGAACATAGAGAAACATCGAGGGTACATCAACCCATGGGCCCCGAGGGACCAGTGAACAACGTATTTATCTTACCGAACACCTCAATGGTAATTTTGAACTGCTTGAAGCACAGGTGTCGGATCATAGTATGGAGTACCAGACGACAAGACGACAAGAAAAACAAAGTTAGAGTTATCTCCCTTCTATTGATTTGCATTCGCAAAACATCAGTAATTTCCGTACATCATACGTGATTCAATGTTTTTCGAGATAAAGAATTACTACTAATTACCACATGAGTTCAGCATTCCCAGCGGGGTACATGGAAAATGTTACCCGCTTGTAAGCAGGGTACATTGAAAATAATAGAAGAGCGCTCAGACAATCAGAAAACGACATATATGTGTGAGGCAAGATAATAAAATTTGTATCAGTCAATCATTAAAGACCTACCCAAGAATCCCCATGGGTGCTGGTGAAATGACAAAGGATATCATTGGGTGCATGGGGACCTAACCTAAACTACTCATATCTGCTCGGGCATAACCAGGAATACCCACGGGTGCTGGGTACCTAACCAAGAATCCCCATGGGTGCTGGAGAAATAACAAAGGATATCACTGGGTGCTGGGGACCTAGCCAAGAATACCCATGCTGGGGACCTAACCAAGAATCCCCATGGGTGCTGGAGAAATAACAAAGGATATCACTGGGTGCTGGGGACCTAGCCAAGAATACCCGTGCTGGGCACCTAACCAAGAATACTTGTGCTGATGACCTAACCAGGAATTTTTCAGGGGGAGCTGGGTATAAACCCAAAAATGCCCCTGGGGGTACTGCAGATTCCAGTGTGGGTTACCTGATGCCATGTAGCCAGTCCAGCCAGACCTTCTCGTGGCTCCTGGGGATCAGCTTCAGCTCGCCACTCTCTACAACCTGGGTACAGAGGCACAATGTCAGATGGCAATTTCAATAACACTCTCTGCCTTAATTTGACAACATACAGTATTTGTTCAAAAATGAAGATTATAAAGCGCCTGTTTTCACTCACTTGCACATGCTCAAAGCGCTAACGCATTGTTACCATTGATAACCCAAGCTGCCAGTGAGGTGCTAGAAGGTTAACGGTCATATGACTTATCCCACCGGGTACCCATTCAGTGCTGGGTGAACAGAGGCAATTCATGAACAAACTCACTTGCCTAAGGTGAGACCACATGTGTCACATGTGCTTCGTTGTGGGGCAGGAGTGAAGTCCAAGAAACTCTCAAAAGTCAAGCTGCCAAACACGGTCACCCATCCAAGGGCTGTCCAGGATGCAATTGCATAACCTCAACTGATTTGTGACCTGGGCTCTGTTCACATGACCACACACCACCACAGGGCATATCTTATCTTAATCAGATTCTCACTGAGGTCCTGTATTCTAAGCTCACCTCTGCAGCCATCATGGCCATCTGTTGACAGTCAACATACCACTGTTCCTTCAGCCTGGGCTCAACGATGTCCTTGGACCGACTGGATACAATTAGAAATAGAAGTGCAGAAACAGGGTGAGTGAATATTATTTTATGCCACAGTCGGCAATCTATCACAGCAGCCTGTAAATGTACATAATCAGTCTGGTTCAGACAAAGCTGTGGTTGACATTATGCAAACACTTTAATGTCATAACCTGATCCTTCTTAGTCACTTCTAACAACACAAAATACTGGAACTTGTTCTATCCTTGAATGACCAGAGAGAGAAATCTCTCTGATACTTGGAACCTGTTCTGCAACAGAATTCCCAAGGAGAGACAAGCACTAGATACTGGAGACCCTATATTGCTATGGAACCCTGTGAGTGAGTGAGTGAGTTTGATTTTACGCCGCTTTTAGCAATATTCCAGCAATATCACGGCGGGGGACACCAGAAATGGGCTTCACACATTTTGCCCATGTGGGGGGAACCCTGTGAGAGACAAGGAGTACCTTTTCTTTCAAAGAATCTCCACCAGGAAACCGGCATTGGAAACTGAGGATATATACACTGAAGGCAAAAGAAATGTCAAAATATTGGAAATGACATTTAAGTATTAATGCAGTATTTGAACCTATTTTTTAAAATATACACCGGTTAACAAGAGATCAACAACAACAAGCCATTGGACTTCTAGACACTGGTCAACTGGCTTGTTGTTGATCCTCACTTTAACCTAGCCATAGCTGCTGTGTTCAGAAAACAAGTGAACGATTGCCATTTAACCCGGCAATTTATGCCTGAATGCATGCATGATGCACGTGCATCTCGATTTCAATGTTGTGAAACTCTTCCCTTTCATTTCTATCCTCAATCTCAAACAATACTTTATTGCACAAAACAGGCTATATGACCACGATTCATGTTTTCCTCAAACTTGACTTCCGGTGTATATTTTAAAGAAAAATAGGTTCAAATTCTCCATTGATACTTAAATGTCATTTCCAATATTATGAATTTTCTTTTGCCTTTCAGTATATATCTGCCTTGGATTCCACATGGAGAGCCAAGCATGGTGGACTGGGGATCTGTTTTGATTTATTATCACAAGTGAAGGCACAGTTCTGAGGACTGGGAACTGATTCTGTTATTAAATCCCTGAAGGGAGACAACTTATGATATGAGAAGAACTCACCTACAGACAGGCACAGTCATGTTGTGTTCTTCCTCTCCACGGAACAGTTTCTTCTCCTTGAGGAACTTGGTGAGATGATGTCGAGCAACAAACCTCCTCATGCCATTGAATGGTGCTGTGACATTCACCATGTGTCCGTCATCGCTGATGACGGTCGGTTTCTGCAGGTCATGCCTCTCTCCGACCAGGAAGTCTGTGTGGTCGTGCCCTGGAGTTATCTTCACAGCACCTGTTGGGGTGGATGAGTGAGTTAATTTCATGAGTGATTAAGTTTAGTTTTACGCCACAATCAGCAATATTCCAGCTATATGGCAGCAGTCAATAATTGAGTCTGGACCAAACAATCCAGTGATCAACAGGATGAGCAACGATCTAGGCAATTGGGATACGATGGCATGTGTCAACCAAGTCAGCGAGCCAGACCACCCGATCCCGAGTAAATTTCGAATAACAGTAACTGTCCACAGTTACTATATACCATCGTATTCAAAGTTACTTGACACACAACAAACAAACAACAAACAGAATCAGTGTTAAAGATCAACAATGAAATCCCAACAGAAGGCCAGTACAGAATTAAGTCAAAACCTGGCAAATCAGCAACTGAAGGATGCCATGCAAATGGAGCAGAGCACGGCGGCACACAATCAACAAGAACACACAGCTTGACCACCAAGAGACCAACCATTTGATATTTGAGCTCTTATTTTCCTATATTATGATCTTTATTCCTTACAGTGAGTTACATTTACATCAGGATAATACAGTTTCTGTTCTCGTGTTTCAGTATTCAGCCTGTCTGGCAAAGCAATATACATTGCAATCTTTCACCTGTAAGACTTTCCTGTAATCAAATTGTGTCTATATCAGACAATTCAGGGGTTCATACTATAAGTGAGTGAGTTAGGCCACTTTTAGCAATATTTCATTTTTATTTCATATTGTTGTCTACTGTTTGTGTGTAGAGATTAAATAAACTGTTAGTAAACTATTGTACTACTGACTTACATATCACAGGGACTTGTAACGCGTAAACCTGGTATCAGGGTATATAATGTCAATGAGTTTAGATTTACGCCGCTTTTAGCAATATTCCAGTAATATCACAGCAGGGGACACCAGAAATGGGCTTCACACTATGTACCCATGTTGGGAATCGAACCCAGGTCTTCAGCGTGTCGAGTGAACGCTTTAGCCACTAGGCTACCCCTCCATCCCAGTTGATATAGTGAGCAAGTATACCCCTAAACATGTCAGTGGTATGATGTCACAAAGTCTACTCATCCAATCCACTGGGTCACCTTGACCTGTACAGGTTGCTGGAGACCCATCTTGGGCTCTGATGCAATCAATAACTAACTAGCCGGCTATAATACATACTGCACCTCATGTCCTCAGTTTTATAGTGTAACAAATGTTTTGAGTGTCAAAATATCATTTCTTTGCAAGTTAATGCTCTGTGGTTACAATCATCAAGTCTTCTACAAATTCTACGTACCTGTTCCAAACTCCATATCTACAAAGTCATCCAGTACAATGGGCAGGAGATGTTGTGTTACAGGGTGTCTGACATGACAGCCATGCAGGTGACGGTACCGGCCGTCGTCGGGGTGGACAGCCACAGCAACATCTCCCAACATCGTCTCCAGCCGTGTTGTCGATACTACAATCTCACCATCTGCAACATCATCCACACACAGGTCCATCAGTGTTTCATTGTTGTTTTAAGTATTCTTATGACTGACTATCTCTGTTATATTTCTAAGAAAGAAACTATTACCCTGTTATACTCTGCAGGAGAAACTATTTCCCTGTTATACTCTGCAGGAGAAACTATTACCCTTTTATACTCTGCAGGAGAAACTATTTCCCTGTTATACTCTGGAGAAGAAACTATTTCCCTGTTATACTCTGCAGGAAAAACTATTTCCCTGTTATACTCTGTTGAGGGAACTATTTCCCTGTTATACGCTCCAGGAGAAACTCTTTCCCTGTTATACTCTCCAGGAGAAACTACTTCCCTGATGTACTCTGCAGGAGAAACTACTTCCCTGTTATACTCTACAGGAGAAACTATTTCCCTGTTGTACTCAAGGGAAGAAACAATTCCCTTGTTATCATCTGGGAAGAAATTATATCCCTGCTATGCACATGGGAAGAAACTACTTCCCTGTTAAATCTAAAGAAGACACCATACACTTGATCGTAATCATTATCGTAGGCGGAAACTTGAGTAAAACAGACCATAGTTTCTTCCAAGGAACATAACAAGAAAATATATATATAGTGCTCCCAATGTACCTTTCTCACTAACTGGGTAAGCAAATGATGTAAGCACTCCGAAGGGAATCTTCCTGTCATATCCAGGGACGGTTAACAGGGTTCTTCCAGACACAGGAATGCCATCCACCTGGAACAAAATTATTCAATGAGCCAAAAGAAAAGAAATATTTTCTAAAGCAACAAAGAAACAAATTCAAGCACCTACTGTGAAGAATTATTGTGAGTGAGTGAGTACGGTTTTACGCCACTTTTAGCACTATTCCAGCAATATCATGGCGGGGTACACAAGGAATGAGCTCCACACATTGTACATATGTGGGGAATCGAACACAGGTCCCCATTCAGTGTGATGAGCGAATGCTGCAACCACTAGGCTACCCCTCTGCCCCGATGAATTATTGTGAAGAGAATTGTTCTGTATATATGTGTACAAAATGTGCTTATCTCTAAAATGGGTATGTCTGTATACAGAATGTGCTTACCTCTATATCAGAAATGGCAGAGCGTAAGGCACATGACCAGTTGACCAGACGATTTCTCCTGTATATGAGTCCCTCTTCGTGTAATCGTACAAAAGCTTCAACCACAGCATCAGATAATTTCTGTTGAAGAAAATTGCCTTCATTTTATTGACCTGTTCACCAACAATACATAGTGTTTACACCCACAGGCCCTCGTGTCTTTGTGTGGATTAAAGATTAAAAAAATATTGTTTTTGAGATGACCCCCAACTCGAAATGCTTCACAGTATAATACATTATGACAAGGCCGGACACTTCGGTACACCCCACCCGACTGTTTTGCCGATCGCTTCACTACCATCACATGCAATCGATTAAAACTTAATGTAAACATAAACATGGATGATTGGCCTATCAATCACCAATCATGAAACCTACCAATTCTTAATTGTTATTTCTGCAAGTCGATTGAAACCCGATTTTGACTCTTAACCAAATGATCTTGACACAAATGGCTGACGATATATCCGCATACAAAACGGGGATGTGGTCGAAGCAAGCCCTCTGATGCCCAGAAAACGCAGAACTAAGCCTTCTGATATCGAACATTCTACATCATCCACATCCACATCCACACAGTGACTCACATTGTCCATGGTGAAGGAAGCTCTGCTCCAATCCAGGGAGGAACCAAGTCGTTTCATCTGGTCATAGATTATCTCCTCTTTTCTGAATTTCAAAATGCACAACATCAAAGATAGTTTACACAACCAGTTTAGAAGTGCCATGTCCATCTTAATTCAACATTCAATGTAGAGCTACAAGGGTACACAATGCCCTTTTGGTACTCTAGGTGCTGAACCATGTTAAATGTATTCCAGATACCACAATATGCTTACTGCCATGATATATTTATCTGGTATACATATACCAATATTTCAATGTGTAAAATTGTTTTCATCTATTTTGTTTGCAAAGAGTGACATCTCAAAAACATATTTAGACTTAAGCTAATGAACATGCCAGGTCATTGTACGAGATAATTCCTGTCTAATTTGATTGTACCAGCTGCGTACATTGACAGACTTAAAAGTTGTCAATGAAAAGTTTACGTTGTTTTGCAGCTGACAAGAGAGAGGTGTTTAGCAACCTAAGCTATTGGACGGCTTTCAAATGTCACAAAGCAAAGATAGCAGGTTCAAGGCTTTATCTTCTTAGGGACCGTTCATAATTTATGGCTAGGGGTGATGATGATGATATTAAGTGGGGGTCACCCATTTTGTTCTGGGGAGGTGGGGGTCAGCAATTATGCTTTAAAAATATGGAAAGGGGAAGGGGGGTCTTTGACTTTGTACATGACATGCAGGGGGGTCACTTACTTTGTACATAAATTTTAGGGGGTGTCATTTACACCAGATTAGCCACAAGTTCCAAGCATTGGAACTTGCATACAGTTACTTCCCCTCAATGTACAAGGATCCAAAGTTGCAAAAAGGATCCTCATGACATTGACTTGAATCCCAAGAGAAGCTGATCATGAATTTGGGTCTGTCAGAACTATACCTGTGACAGTGGATTTAAACAAACACCAAGGCCAAATTCACTATGGGTTTACCTCCAGCATTAGTGAGTGAGTTGGGTTCAGAGCCATATTTCTATATCAGCACATGTAAGAATAATGGAGGAAAATCTATTTCATGGAAGTCATGTGTGACTTGTAGACACAAGCACATATATTGTGCTGACAAGCCAAGAAGCATAACTCTTGCATCAGTGATTTGAATCCTGGTCATAGGGGACACAACTCTGTATAGCAACATGCATTAGATGGTTACCCAGTCCACTAACTCACATCCTGTACTACTGAATACCAGTCTGATTACACTGACTGAGTTTGGTTTTACGCTGCTTTTAGCAATATTCCAGCAATATCATGGCGGGGGACACCAGAAATGGGCTTCACACATTGTACCCATGTGGGGATTCGAACCCGGGTCTTCGGCGTGACGAGCCAACGGTTTAACCACTAGGCTACCCCAATGCCCAGTCTGATTACAAGTTGGTGTTTTCAGTTTATGAGATGAATCTTGCTCGGACATTATGTAGGAAGTGCCTTGATTCAAGTAAGGTGGTCTAGGTTTGGTTGTTGGCTCACAGTGTGTGTTTCAATTTTATAAATATACTATAAATGCTTAACCTTATTGTGAAAAGTATAACTTCAATTTACTTTTATTTCAGGAACTGTTTTTGTTGCTGTGAGGCAGAACGTTGCTGCTGTGACAAAACAGAATTCACTCACTCACTCACTCACTCTAACAGACATCTCTCTATCATCAAAAACCTACTCATTCTTCCATTTCCAAACTTCCTCCACAAATTTGTCGCGACCAAGGTCATGGCGAGATTGGTGACGTTCTTGATGCAGCTTTCTCTCCACGACTACCTGTGTTGCAATCCCAGCATGGTCGCAGCCCGGTACCCACAGTGTCTCACGACCTCGCATCCGATTCCTACCAAATCAACAATGTACATTGACCTCACATACTACGGCATTGGCGGATCCAGAGGGGGTTCAGGGGGTTAGAAACAACCCCACCCCCAACCCCCTTTGAAAATAACTTAAGACCACATTGAAGATTTTATTTGCGTTGGCAGAGTCAATGGGGGCTTCGAACTCTCCCCCCCCCCCTTTTTAAAATTCCTGGATCCGCCCATGTACGGTAAGCAGAAATACTTTAAAAAAAGCTCTTAAATGTCCATTCATGAGCAATTAAGACAATGCAAACCTGGTTCAACAACTATTTTAAGTGAAATTTGATGTATAGTTTATAAATTTTTATAATGCATTGTGGCAGAAAACAAACAAAAACTATAAGATATTACCAGCATCAACAGGACATTATTTCCTGAAATATCTTGAAAGACAAAACAAAACAATATTTTGACCCAGTCCACTGCCACCACAGCCCAAAGTTCACATTCAAACCAGTGGTTGATATCATCAACAACAATCCCTGCTATCATGGCCGAGTCTACAGGGGTGGAAATAGTGTACTCCGGTACAGTGGCACATGTAAAATCACTTGCCCTGATAATTTTTCCACTATACCGGCCATTTTCTTGTTGATTTGTTAAATAAACAACATAATTAACATTGGAATATCAACTGGACACCGGTACAGTGTGATATACAAAATTGCTTGCCCGACAGAAAGAAACACTGGACTCTGGCGTTGGGCAATGGGTTATTTCCACCCCTGGTCTAGCAATGCAACACCGGATACTCAAATCTCTTAGTTTTACCCTTGGGTAACAACAGGTCTCACTAAGATAGCAGGATGTAACATACATTTGAAAGCAGTGTCATTAAAACAAGATGCTTTACTTGACCCAAATTGACCCCCCTTTGCTGTCAGGAGTATTCCAAAACACAATAATCGAAGATCTGATAACACACCCCTGCAGAGGAGTCCACAGAGAGGATGCTGTCAGGAGTATTCCAAAACACAATGATCGAAATAGAGTTATCCTTGATAATCTCCAGGGTATATGTTACGATCACTCTCCACTATACCCTGGATGTATCCACGGCTTGGCCCGATGATTTTATTACCTCCCTTGGCTGGCTGCGCATTCTCACAGTAGCCAATCAGCTAAGCCGCCATTACATCCGAGCTTGCCAGTGTCAATAAAAATAGCGGTCGCAGTCAGAAGGTTTGTTTGCAGTACCACTCAGATTTTTGGAGAAATAATACAGACAAATTGACAGATCTGAAACTTTCAAAAAATATATAAAAGAACCTTCTGCATCAATTGTGTTGCCAAGTTTATATGGTTAGATAATTTAAGAAGCGAAAGTGACACCTGATTGGATAAAAAGCCAGCCAAGGGAGGTAATAAAATCATCGGGACAAGCCGTAGATGCATCCATGGTATAGTGGAGAGTGATCGTAACGTATACCCTGGAGATTATCGAGGATGAAATAGAGCGAGTTTGGTTTCTTTCTTTGTCATTAAACCAACATCAATATTCCAGACACATGACAGCCATGTGGGATTGATCAAGTATGGACTAGATAATCCAGTGATTGACAACCTGAGCGGTGGGATATAATGTCAACCACACAATTAGCAGAACAATTGTCAGTGAGCCGGACTACTGATCTCATCAGCCACCTTATACAACAAGCACGGGCTGCTGAACACATATTTCTAACCTGGATCTTCACAAGGGTGATCAGCGAGTGAGTGAGCTTGGTTTAATTTCTCTTTGAACTGGGAATTTCAGTTAAATCAGGAAGTTGATGTGGAAGGAATTCCTGTAGTGATGATGTGGACAAAAATGGAAACACAATTAGGGTGAATTTCAATTTTAATCCATAATCACTGATTTTTGTACACCTAAAGGTCAACAGTGCTATATGCATAAGCCCAGTCTAGTGCTCCCTGTTGTGAACAAATCACACACTATTTACGCTTTTACAAATTTATTCAAAATTCTTGGATACATTGTGTACTTGGATATGTAGTCAAAACAGGTTTTGTTATTGCTTGTTATACAATTACAACACAAAACATGATAACAAAATGTTGTCTGTTTCAGTTGTGTTTATTAATGCTGCACTCAGCAATATTCCAGCAAGACTGGACCAGACAATCCTGTGATCAGCAACATGTAATAGTGTAAGGATGAATAAAACATGCTAAACATGCTAAATGGATTTATCACTCTGCTACAAAATGTCACTTGAATGATACATGAAAAAATAGTTTCATTATGTTTAGCAAATATATATCAAAGTTTAGTTTATTCAAATATATGTCAAAGTTTAGTTTATTCAAATACATATCAAAGCACATATGTACTAATACATGTATATCCTAAATTTGGTTAAACAAGTGTTGCAAAATGTTTCAACTTATCCCAAACTAGTACGTAGGTTGTTTTTAAAAACATTTCAAAGTCTTCCTGATATATTTAACTAATTCCAAAGCATTCCTTCTACTTTTGACTTAACTAAAAGTGTTACTACTATATTTACACATATCCCAAAGTGTCTCTTTCATTAACTCCTCTCAAAGCATTTGATATCTTTAACTTATCGCAAACTAATTCTATTAATATATCTTTTTAAAATATTCCTGCTTTTATGAGCTTATGTCGAAGTTTTTTTAACTTAGCTCAAAGCGTTCCTTCAAATTTCAACACAACTCAAAAAGTTCCTTCTGATTTTAACTAAACTCAAAGCATTTCCCTAAATTCAAATGAATTCCCTCCCCTCTTACGGTATATCAAATGAACTCAAACCATTCCCTCTTATTGTATATCAAATTGACTCAAACCATTCCTTCTAATTTCAAATGAATTCAAACCATTCCCTCTAATTTCAAATGAATTCAAAGCATTCCCTCTAATTTCAAATAAACTCAATGCATTCCTCTTACATCAAATGAATTCAAAGCATTCCCTCTAATTTCAAATGAATTGAAAGCTTCCCTTTAATTTCAAATAAACTCAAGTCACTCCTTATATTTCTCATACAACCCAGGGATGCCCCGTCATTGTTACTTATCTCAACACATTCCTGCTATTAGTCAAGGAACAAAACAGTCACAATGTTTCACTTCAGAGCGTGAATGAATCCCAGTGGTTCAGAACACCAACATGTTGATCAGCTCCCTCTTTCTGGTAGGCACAACAACATCCATATTATGCCCCTGATCTAAGGGGATGGTTTGTAACAGGATCCTGTACACTAACTGTCTCTGTAACTTCCCCGGGAGCCATGAGCGGTTGTTGTACACCCACCAGACAGTGACTGGCCCACACATGTCTTTCTTTGACTGGGCCGATGCCTGGTAACACAGTTTGGGCATTGCATCTGGCTTAATCTGCTGGATGAAGAAAAAACCCATTTCCCTGGATGGAAACTTGTTCCAGTGATAATTGACATTCTTCATTGCCAGCTGGTAATACTGTCGATAGGTTTTCATGGACGACACCAGGTGTCCATGCTCTTTGGCTCCATGAGCTTCAGACATAAAGGAGCCATACTTTTGCGATCCAGTAATTGAGAAGCCATGGCTGTTGGATCTGGACATATATCCAGATGGACGTGCTCGATGTATTTCAGAGCCATGCTGATTGGCTCCAGATATGAAGGATTTATGTTCATTGGCCCCAAATACTGAGGAGTTGTGTTGATTTGTTGAAGGTTTTGAGGAGCCATGATGGTGGGTTCTGGAGCGATACTGGTAAGTTTCAGTCACTTCAGAGACATTTTGAATATGTCCAGATACTGAAGAGCTGTGCTGATGAGCGTCAGTATCATAGAATGCTGTCAATGAATTTCTGTTTTCGGCTGACCATGCCTCAGCTTCGGAATATTCTGAAGGACATCCGTTCCAGGAATCGGAACATGAGAAATCAGATGACCATTTCTGTGAAGATTCTTCAACATGGACACAAGAGGGGGTGTGAAGTTCATCGCTCCAACCATAAAGACAAGCGCCACATTGGTCTTCATTCACACTCAAACTCTCCACGTCATCATTTCCATCGTCATGGCAACCAGATGTCTGACTATCACCTCCATGCTGCACATCACTACTGCAGTACTTGCTGTTGCTGCCGCTGGAGATAGGCACCTGGGTTTCTGCATGCTTATGTCCGGCAGACTGATGCTTGTCAAACTGGATTGTCACAACAGCCAAACTGGAGGACTCCTCTATATTAAATGAAACTACATCATAACAAGAGAGCCGCTCCAAGTTGGTGATGATCTCTAGTGGGAGGTCAAGAAGGCAGCTGTTCAGTGACATAATCACAGAATAATGATACTGTTCAAAACACTGATAATAACATCAGTCTCTGTGGAGCTGCCAGAGAAATATTCAACAACAGATAGAGACACTCATGCATCTTCCAGCAAGCCAGTCTAATTATCTAATGCATTATGTGGGACAAACCCCCTCTGTCCCCAACAATAGAACAAAGGGACAAACAACGGACTTACATAATTAGCTTGGAGCAGCAAGCCCAATACATTCAGAATCATCATAATGCTCACAGCTCCCAACTTCTCTAACAATTGACAGACAAATTGGGAAAAGGAGCATGGGTTTTTTAAAAATGTATGTTTGTATAAGGCTGCATTATATGTTAGACACACAAAGATACTTTAACATTGGTTTTTGAGATTACATATATATAACCCAGCTGTTATATAAATATATAAACCTTATACAAACATAAATGATTAACAAATCCATGCTCCTTCTCCCAGTTTGTCTGTCAGGGACATATTCCAAAAGCAAAGTAATTTTGTATTGTTAGAGAAGTAGGGAGCTGTAACTCCCCCCAGTGTAAGCATCATGATGATAGTGAAGGGTTTTACCACACAAAATACTACATCCAGTACACACACAATTCCACCCATGAAAATTTGGGGTTGAACTTATCTTCTGCAATGTCTGCTTGTTGTAATGGCCAGCTAACAGATCAAGCCCTGATTTATCGAAACAAATTGAAGTCTGAGTTTTAACTCAAATTTGAGAAAACGCAGGAAAATGCATTTCCCAGAATAAACTGAAATCAATACTAAACTCAAACTTAGTAGACAATTTGAGTTTTAAGTTATTTGGGCTTTTTTTTATTTTAAAAAGGCAGTTGAGTTAAAAATTCAGCAGTTTCAAATTGTCAAACTCAGTTTGAAATTTGAGGCAAAGCTTAAGTTTGTTTTCGAGAAATCGGGGCCAGGGGCCCGATCCACAAAGCAATCGTAGCGTTACGACCCATCGTAACTCTATACTTCATCATAGGCTTACGAATGGCGTAGCGCGCTGTAAACGCTTTATTGATAGGGGCCCAAGCTTGTTGTCCCCGTTTATGCATGTCACTGTGTCCAATTACATGGCTTGATGCTCATGACCTCAATCACTGGATTGTCTGCTTCAGACTCAAATATAACATGTAGTCATCATATTGCTGACTGTAGCATTAAATAACAAACACAATATTTCACCCATGTAAATAATAGCCACTGCTAGTCCCAGTGAATCCCAAATTGTCTGGATTTTGGACTTATTGATGCTTCTTAAAAGTTAAATGGAAACATGTAAGTAAAATCTAACATATTCTATTTTGTTAAGAAATACAATTAATATACAGATAGTCCACATCAGAATTTATTTCAACAAGGATATCTTCATTGCTACTAGTGGTGGTCCGATTAATTGAAATAATCGAAGATTGGTCGCAATGACTAAACAACCAAGCAATCGATCATGTTTTCTTATAATCAAACACAAACAATTTTGGAACACTGATGTGCATTAACAACCATTTTCACAAGGTTGGTTTTGTCTGTTACATTTCAGAATCACTACAAGCTCCTTCCTTGTCATGATTGAATTATCCATGAAATTTAGGTTCATACCATACTAGTCATCCTTTAAGATGTGAAATTTGTAAATGCATTTTGTGCAATTTTCAAAAAACTCGAAAGAACTACGTTTTTTTTATATTTTTGTGCATTTACAAACGTAACCAGGAGAATTTGATAAATGACGCTAACCAATTATTTTCGATGATTGATTGGTTGTAATAACTGTGAGATTTTAACCAATTCCCAACACTAATTGCTACATTGGCACCAATATGGGGTTGATCATGTTCATATAAAATTTCAGAAAAATATGTCTCAGTACAGCAGTTTCAGCCATTTTAAGCAACATTCCAGCAATATCACGGCGGGGGACACCAGAAATGGGCTTCACACATTGTACCCATGTGGAGAACCGAACCTGGGCCTTTGGCATGACGAGTGAACATCTTACTAACTAGGCTACCCCACCGCCACCATAGCCTAAGACAGGTTTATACTAGTTGAAATTACCATCTGATGATAGCATCCTGAATAGAGCATGTCAGGGCGTGTCCCAGGTGGAGTGTACCAGTCACGTTGGGGGGCGGGAGGACCATCACAAATGGGGGCTGCTTTCCTCCAACCGGTCCCTGTAAGCGATGCTGCTGCTGCTAATGATGATTATGAAAACAATATTAATATATTATCAATGATAAAATCTAAAGTAGACCTAATGTGGCTACATCATTAGAACTCTAATCATAATAACAGCATGTATTTCATTGCAAATGTATTCTGAGTTCCCTGAGGAGAATGACAACACAGCTGCCTTTTTTATGTAAGATTTTGCATTAGCGTTTGGATACAGACAGTGTTTGAGGGGTAGTAAGCGATATATGACATTCCTGAGAACAGTCTCATCGCCGCTTCAAAAACATCAACATGATGATTTTTATTCCTGTTTGCAATGTGGCCTAAAGGCATAAACTACAGATAGGTTACTAACAGTTGGTGTATAGGAATGAAAGCCAAGTAGACTGTTATGGTTTCCAAAAAGTTCTAAGTGAACCAAAGTGATCAACAGAGTGGCATGGGTATGGACTGTAACAAGTGTCCACATCCAGAAGGGGATCTTAACCATGTTAACATAGGGGGTAATGTTAACTTCCATAGTTTAACATAGGCCTACAAATGTTGTAGCACAGAGATTGCTTTTGGAACAGGACCGACTGACTTGCCTGTGTTTTTGGGGTGAAGAATTCCTGTTGTGCCCACCATTCGTACCATCCAGATTCCACATGTTCAGGGTTGTAGGTGGATGGGAGGGGCCCAGAAACATCTATAGAAACATGTTCAAGGTTAAAAATTCTGGGCATTACCATGAGTAGATTGTAATGGCATTGACTGAACAAGTTCCAGTGTCTACATCAACAAAGCTTTCGTAGCATTACGGGGGCGGTGGGGTAGCCTGGCTCGACACGCCGAAGACCCGGGTTCGAATCCCCACATGGGTACAATGTGTGAAGCCCATTTCTGGTGTCCCCTGCCGTGATGTTGCTGGAATATTGCTAAAAGCGGCGTAAAACCAAACTCTGTCAGTCAGTCAGCATTACGACCAATCGTAAGTCCATAATTTATCACAGGCTTAGTGCTAGGAACACTTTGTGGATAGGATCCCAGGCTCATTAAGGGCAGTCTCAATAGGCATATTTTATTGACAACAATTTATCAAATGAAGACACTGAATGTTAAATGCTCAAGTAAACTGGATAAACACATGGAAAATATAATGGTGGAAATTCAGAAACTGCAAAGGGTGTTATCAATCTCAATAACTGAGAAACGTTATTTCATTATGAAGCTTATCATGCTTATGGTGAAATGATATTCACCAATATTGTAAACATAGTAATTGGATCAAAAGCATCATGCGTGTTGGCATACTCAAATTACAAAGTGTTAAATTAAACATAAAGTGCTGATTCAAATGAAAAAGAAAATACATTTCAAAATAAGAAGTTGTTATTATGATTTAGGCTTTTTCATTAGGTCTGCCCAGGCAACGCAATTTTTATCTTTATTTTTAAAATTTTTACATCTGAAGTAAAGGTATATATCTACGATCTCAAGTGTAAATAGCCTTGATATTGATGTTTGTTTGCTTTTTGTCTATAACTTAAATTCAGAGTGTTGTGATCACATTGCCAGTAAAAACTTCTCACTTGCTACTTTTAGGCAACTTTTTGCACTGAAGGTATTAACTGCCTTTTTCTACTTAAATCAAAGAAAAACTTCTCCGCACGACAGCTTACTGCATCTGCCCTACCAAAGTGCTTATGCAATAGTGCGAGCAATGCAATCATCAAAATCACCAGAACGTCGAATTCAGCTCGCTTTGGGATATAATATATATACTACACAATGTTAAATGCTCAAGTAAACTGGATAAACACATGGAAAATATAATCCTTGAAATTCAGAAACTGCAAAGGGTGTTATCAGTCTCAATAACTCCCCCGATATAGCGCAAGCAATGCAATCGTTGAAATCACAAGAACGTCCAGTAGAATATATCTCTAGGCTCTAATCTCTCTTCAGACGGTGATACATAAAGATTCTAACCTTTCTTAGCTGCTAGGGGTGAAGACACCCTGGATGATGTTTTCTCCGAGTATCTCGTACCAGCAGTCGTTGAATAGACTTGTATCTGACAATGGATAAACAAGTGTTTCATTAACATACAGCTCCACATACGATGGTTCGGAAGAGTTCCTTCCGTTCCCCCATATTCTTTCTACCGCAGATTAACAGAGGTAACGCTAGGTGGTTTGATCCTATATATGTAAATAATTTTTGGGCTTTTAGTTATTTTTGTGAGTCCTCTAGTAATTGTTGTGTTAGGGACCGTTCATAATTTATGGCTAGTGTGTGTGTGTGTGTGTGTGTGTGTGTGTGTGTGTGTGTGAGTGAGAGATATGATATGGGGGGCACCCATAATGTCCTGGCGAGCTAGGGGGTCATCTGTACACACGTACTGGGGTGTCATCAATTTTGCTCCTAAAACTATGTTTAAAATCATGCTTAGAAATTATGGGTTGGGGAGGGGGGTGTCATTGATTTTGTACATGACATGCAGGGGGGTCAATTATTTTGTACATAAATTTTAGGGGGGGTCATTCACATTGTACATGCTTCTCCATAAAAATCATCATCATCCCCTAGCCATAAGTTATGAACGTCCCTTAGGTTTTGTTAATAATTTTAGCATATATTAATTTCTAAATATTATTGGGGAAGGGGGAACGGGAGGAGCTCTTACCGCTGGACTACACATACAATTAACAAACAGATTACTACATGTTGGAAAAGCAAGACCTGTCAGAGTGAGTGAGTGAGTGAGCTTAGTTCTACGCCGCACTCAGCAATATTCCAGCTATATGGACCTGTCAGACCACATCGTGTATTTACTGTGGCTTTATGCGTTGACACTGCACGGGCCATATCAAGGCTTATAGTCACAGTAAATAGCTGAAGTAAACAGATGAGTACCGTATAACATTTGGAAGCTGAAATCCGATGTCCCTTGTATTTCTTCAAGCCGTATCTTCGATAGAAGAATCGCATGTGACACCAGGAGGCTGCCATTTTGACAGCATCCACAAGCTCTGAGCAGCCTGTTTTATGAATGGGGTAACGCTAAGTAGCAGCCTTATGCGCGGTAAGGATAACATTGAGCTCTTTGCCGCGTCGACTTTATTACACGCGGTGTCACGATTTTCATGGTTTAAAGTGAAGTGTGTGTGTCAGTGTGTATATACTATCATATGTATCGGTTTGTTGCTTAGTGCTTATAGATATTGTTTTCGGTCATGCATATGGAATATCCCTGAATAAGAAAATTTATGAAATAGTTAAAATGTACAAACTTCATCACATTATACAGGTGAATTCATTATTCTAGGAATGATTAGTTATGAAAAACATTATTAAAGGTATGAACAGGATAAATGGTAATTTATGAGCCACTGAATTTCACAAAATCTGTCGGACACACATCGCAAATATGTGTTAAAAACAGGTCTGACTTTTAACACATATTTTGATTTATCGTTATATCAGTTTTCACGGAAATCAAGTCATAGTTGTCTCTACTGCCAATCTTGTTAAAAAATTGACCTTACAGCTGATGCGAAACGGTTGCCAGACTAAGACTTTAATGAATATAAAGGACAGAGGAGGATAAGAGCACACACGTTTCACGGAAGAGATGGGTTATAATTGCCTGGAGATTTAACTACGCGAAACGGAATCTGGAACTGAACGTAAAAATTAACTAAAGCTCTAAATGTTATATGTGAAATTACAGGCATCCTAACCTAACCTTGAAAAGAACATCATGTTTAACTCATGTTTGCTTTGCCAAATTATTAAGGAAAACTCTTTTGTCATGACATGTGACGTCACTTTATGTTGTATGTTACTTCCTTACAAAACATGGTGAGGGATTCTAAAGGTGCTCCCCAAAGCCCAATGTTATGCGTTGGTTGCCAGTCTGAATGAAACTGTGGAAACAAATACATAGGAAAGACAACACGTACGTCGCTAGCCCACGTCCAATGAAAGAACACCAAACCTCTGTTGAAAAATCTGATAAGAAAATTTGCCGTTTCCGAACACATCATCAAAAACACCGTCCACCATATTTCCTGGCAACAAACCAAGATTCTCCATACCAACATCAACCAATGGAAACAGCGGAAATTTCAAGAAAGCATCGAATTCCAAAGACAGAAGCCAGCCCTTAACTGAGAACAAGGCATGTACCTTGTGTACTCCACTGTTCTATAATTATTATTGGCATCGTCTAACATTGTTATACCATCAATCCCATAGGCTTCACCCTTATATTGTTATCTTTATACATTAAATCTACCCAACTGGCTTTGTAATATGTCTTTTTTTCTTTGTACATTCATACTGCTCATTGCAAAGTTCGGTGAGAGAAAAGTGCCAAATTTCATGCTCTCTTTGGTCCCTTTGAAATATATCTGATATTATTAAATGATACTCGGGCGAGATCCTCTACATCGATATATCTGAACTGATAATTTAATCCGGCAGTGTTTTTGAACGATGGTTTGTCAATGCATGCTCAGGAAAAGGAGATTCTACGAGCGCATCAAACGTATGCACGAGGAGAAATCGGAGGGTACGCTATACCATTAAAAAAAGGAGGGGATATTCCATTTTGCGAGCATAATTGGTATAATCTGCGCATGTCAGAAGTCCAACGTTTTATGGCACATGTGTATTGCACTTGTCAGCATTGTCCAATTCATTACTGAAGTCATGGTAGAATATCTGTTATCATTTGGGATATTCTGACTTATTTCCGAGTTTCCCCTGTCTTTTAAAGGATAATACGAGTGAATTGCAATAACTTGCTGGGTGAAAGATAAAGGCATCAGAAACATATTCCCAAATTTCCAATTAAAAAGTATGTATAATTATGTTTTAATCGCGAAAACAGATCCTGTAAATCTCAGCTTCGGCCATTATGCATATTTCGCTGGAACCCACGTGACCTTTCCGCTCGGAGTGCCTGGAGTCCGCCATATTGCCAAAGACCAAGCGCTACAGTAGTACAAATCGTGTAGTTTCTGTCGTTTTTGTAAGTGGTACGATGGTGTATTCTGTTGCCTGGGGATGCACGGAATCATCGAACAATGGAAAGCCACCATTTCTTCCGTTTTCCAAGTAAAGAGACAGACTAGGCAGGAGAAATGGTCCGATCATTCCCAGTCGGACGCATATGAAAGAGACAAGCACACATGGGGCATACAAATCCCAAAGCTAGGCTGAAAAAGGAAGAATTACCCACGAGATTCATTTATACTCCATCATTCCCTGTTACAGCTTACTGTCAGTGGTATTTTTAACATAAATTAAATCAAGTACGATTGCCAGTCGATTTGCCCCCGCTGCAAATTGCCCCAGCAAATATGGTCAAATTGCCCTTGAGTTTTGGTCAAATTGCCCCAGTGGGGTAGTTAAAATGCCCCAATTTATTTAAAATGATTAAATATAGGCCATAAATGCATAGTGTTGTCAAGTTTGATATTATGTTCTTCATATAAAAGTATATATACATAGTTATGAGTTTACTGATGGAACATTTATCAGAAATCTTACTTCTTAATAACTTTTATATGAAGAACATAATATCAAAGTTGACAAAAACTATGCATTTACGGCATATATTTAATCATTTTAAATACATTTGACCAAATTAGAATGAATGACCAAATTTGCTGGGGCATTTTGTAGCTGGGGCAGTTCCACTGGTACCCATGAGATAGATATCAAAATCAGTAAGAGATTTCACATGAGCTTGAAAATGTTTCGCTATGACGCTCTTTTCGGTTGGAGCCCTAATGCTGCAGTCTACCCGAAACATTGCCGAATACAACGGCAAATCATGAAGTACTTGTTGCTTTCATTGTTTTCCATTTAGTCCAATTACGCACGTCGGCATCAGACTCGCTATTTGTCAGTAGTGTGTGCCGTGAAAGTTGTTCTGTGGTCACATTGGCTGACAAGATGCCATTCTAAGGCTATGGCCGAGTACCATAACTATTTCAATAACCAAACACAGGGGAAACATACATTATAGTTTGGCATGAAATGCATGTGGATCCGTTTTTTTGTAAATATCTCTTCATCCAATGACCAAATCGATCTCAAACTGTGCAAGTGGATGTTTTGTCAGACAACCTAATCACATTGTAAATCACCGATTTCATGCATTTGTATTAAAGAATCTGTCTATGTAACTGTCAACAAAATAAACAGCAGACCGCAGACTGCTTGCAGAGGGAGGGAGCCAATGACCTGTAACAACGGCAGTGTTGGGTCATAAAGGTAAATGCACGTGCAGTTCATGATAGTTACCTGTGCACTGCACAGTGATAGACCGTTTGGATCATTCACATTGACTACTTCTAGCTGTCATCAAAAAGCTTATTCAGATGATGCTAAATGTTTAATTAGAAATGTGTTGAATTTTTTTTAAAAAGAGAGCAAACGTAGCAAACCGATTTATAAGGGGTCGGATTACATGAAACGTACAACTTTTGCTCTTGGCATGAAAAAGAACATCGTGCTAAAAATTGTGAAAAATAAACCAACAACCAAGAAACAAAACCTTGTACAAAAAGGTGGGCATCCAAAGTTAGATTCTTTTGACATCAGGGTCATCAGAGATGTCATTCGCCGGCTATTTGCTAGAAATGAACACCTGTCCACAAGAAAGTTAAAACACATCCTTGCAGAGGATCACGACATTAATGTTTCTAGGTTTATGCTAAGCAAACTACTGCTCAAATTTGGATACAAGTACAAGAAGGTAGCGAACCAGAAACTTGTAATGTGTGAGAGATCTGATATTGTGAAAATAAGGTGTAACTATCTGAGAGAAATTAAGCAGGCAAGAGAGGATGGGTTCGAACCTATATATCTGGATGAGACCTGGGTCAATGCAAACCATACTGCTGCCAGACAGTGGCTACCCACTGATCCCAGTGATGGTAGGAAAATACCAACAGGCAAAGGTGAACGTTTAATCGTTCTTCATGCTGGTTCCCACCGTGGATTCCTACCTGGGTGTGTTCTGGTATTTCGGTCAAAGAGCACAGATGGTAGGGACTATCATACAGAAATGAATTCAACGGTTTTCACACAGTATGTTGAGGAACAATTGTTGCCAGCTCTGCCTTACAAAAGTCTTGTTGTCATGGACAATGCTCCCTATCACAGTGTTCGAGATCCAAACAATAGGTGCCCACAACAGGTCCCCATTGACAACATGCTACGCCAACACGGCCATAAGGTCTTGAGATTACCACCGTACCACTGTGATCTCAACCCAATCGAACTTATTTGGGGAGACCTTAAAAGTACAGTGGCCCTGAAAAATCAATCATTCAACACTGCTATATGTGACATTGACATTGCACGCTGGCATGCATGTGTTGAACATGTCAAGAAGGTGGAGAAAAAGTACTGGCTCAAAGATGGCTCGAAGGAGCAAACAGTTAATCCAGTTGTCATTCGTCTGGACACTGATGACTCCTCTGTGGAAGAATGGAGTGAACTTGATGAAGTTTAATTCTGTTATTATATTTACAGATAATAATAGTATCCAGCCAGATATGCTCGAAGGAATATAACTGCTTTTAACAATGACAGCACTGACTAATTCCAACGACTTATAGTGTAACATGAAACACTCATTTCACATAAAATTATCATGAAAATATAAATATTAACTATCTATATGCTTAAAGCTATTAGAAATGCATTGCTTAATTTGGAATGTGAACGACATCACAACATAACACTTTTGTCTTCATTCTATCTTTTCTTCAATGAGTGTGCATGATTGTATGTGCTTGTGTCCAAGGGAACGGGGCTTTAACAGTTGTCGAGTTCTAACCATAGGTGGTCCGATTAATGATTTAGTGTAAATATACTTTCTGTGTTCTGTCAATGCATTTCCACTTAGGTACTGCATAAACAAAATATGACATTAACATTACAAATTTAAAGATTTTAACCTACAGAATAATTCTCACTAATGGGTTTTGTGGTTAATGTTGAACAACTCAGAGAAACAAACTCCGTATGATGGTTAACAGTTGGCGCCCACCTTATCCTATTCACGACCTGTGACACCTCTTCATACCCGTCATGTGCATAGCTGACCTACATTGACGAACGTTGACCTTTATGACCCAACACTGCCGCTTTTACAGGTCATTGGCTCCCTCCCTCTGCAAGCAGTCTGCGTTCTGCTGTTCATTTTGTTGACAGTTACATAGACAGATTCTTTAATACAAATGCATGAAATCGGTGATTTACAATGTGATTAGGTTGTCTGACAAAACATCCACTTGCACAGTTTGAGATCGATTGGGTCATTGGATGAAGAGATATTTACAAAAAACCGGGTCCACATGCATTTCATGCCAAACTATATGTATATATGCAGTCGTTTATATGCATTATGAGTAAGGTAATGCTTTTCTTCATTTGGACAGCTAATGGATGTTTGTAATGCTGCATAGTTAAACACGTTCGACACTGACACCGGCGCTCGCTTGTGTACAGTAAACAATAGGGCAGAGCTGTAACACATCAAACACATTGGACCTGTATATATCTAGCACTCTGGAAAACTGCTACCTCCTTACTTGATCTCGCTTTATGATTGATTTTGCTTCACAGCACCATGGAATGACGCTGGACAAACATTCTGTAATTACGTAACAATTATGTCTTGTGTTAAGCCAGTATTCAAAGCTGTCTCTTCTATTAGCTGATCGTGATTACAGGTTAGATTAAAATGACCTTCCGTAAATGTGCGACATTATTTTCTCAAATGGGAGCAGCAACGATTGTAAAGTAAATACAGTGACAGTGACAAGAACTAATGAGAGCATTTAATGGATATTTTAGGAATAGTGGTAATGTGAAACAACTGCGTGATTGTCAATCTGTTTCACATGTACATTCCCTTTGGTTCTTTTATGGCGCCCCTGCTCTACCGGGAGCCTATATATCGCCTTGTGAGAACCATTCAGTTGCGTACTGACGTCCATCAAGCTTGATTGTGTACCCTTTGGTTTTGTGATGTTGGACCGGTGTAGGGTCCTAGCAGTGTGTGTGTTTCTGAGTGCAGTCTGCAGTCTTCAGTCTGCTATTGACCAGGGTCCTCTGTACGCCGTATATAATGACCTGCTTGAGAACTACAAGACGTATATCAGACCCAGGAAGAACGCCAGTGAGACTGTGGATGTGCTGGTCTCCTACAGTCTGGCATCTGTTGAAGCCTTGGAGGAAAACACTCAGACACTCATTTCAACTGGTTACGTATGGCTTGAATGGACGGACGACCTGCTGACGTGGAACTCAGATAGATACGGTAATATTACCAATATAACAATACCTGTTGAAAAGCTGTGGTTTCCAGACTTGCTCCTGCTAAATGGATTAGATGACCCGCCTCTCATATACCCGGACGGAGAAACAGCAAGGGTAAGCAACGATGGACGTGTACAGTGGTACAAATGGATAAGAAAACGTACGAAATGCCCTTTAGACATGAGGAAGTTTCCGTTTGATACCCAAACGTGCAGTATCAACTTTCTCCAATGGTCTTCTGTAATTAAAGAAATTAACATGACAGTAGACTGGGTCCAAATAGAACCAACTATATTTCAACGAAATGGAGAATGGGAAATAGTAGGAAAGTTAGAGCACGCACTTCTTCATTCATATACTGAGACACTTATTCAGACAGAGATGGTTTTCACATTCGTCTTTAAACGCAAGTACCTCTATTACGTCATCACCAACATCCTTCCCGTCATGCTTCTCTCCGTCCTCAACCTTGGTGTGTTTTTGCTTCCGCCGGAGACTGGGGAGAAGGTATCGCTGTGTATATCCATAGTGCTGTCCTACGCAGTCTACATGTCTGCCATCAGTGGACGTCTACCGGAAGTGTCCGATACCGTCAGCATCTTCAGCATTTACCTTCTTGCAATGATGTTTCTCAAGGTCACGACAACGTTGATTACTGTTGCCATTTTGAACGTTTACCATGGAGACAGAGCAAAGGACGTTTCGTGTGCAAACTCCCCGAGCCGTAGAACAAATGAGACAGAAAACGAATCTCTATCACATGATACATGCGATCGTGCACCTGAGAACATGTCTGAACGGAAGAGAGGCGCAAGAGGGAGGAAACAGCTTGCTTCACTTTTAAACAAAATCGGTTTCAGCGTTATAATTTGTTTGACAGTCACCCTCACCATTGTTTGTTTTGTCCTACTTTTGAAACTGTAGTAAGTATGTTTAAATACTGCATACTATAATTGTTGACAAGGATTACCTGTTGTTTCTTTTGCTCTGCTCTTGAAAATGTAGTTGGAGTAGGTACATTTGACTACTGTATGTTGTTTCATTTATAATTCTATCATCAGCATGGGTATTTTTATAGAAACATCTACCGTTCTACTTCCCAGGCGGATTATCTACTCTCAATAGGCATTGAAAAACGATGTGCATCTCAAAACTCATTGAATGTTTCAAGGCCGTGGGTTATTGTAAAACACAGGACTCACAAGCAAATATACTTGAAATTGAGAGTATATGGACTGACTTTTGTATTGCTGTAATGCAACCACTCTGCTATTATACAACTTCAGAGAAACCATAATCAACAAACCATACATTGGGCAACACTTTTATGCTGATGACTCCCAATTGAGGACAGCTTTAAACCAAGTCCAGACAGTCAGCAAAAGGCCAAGGATAACATGGAGTCTTATCTCAATGATGTCAAGTCATTGAATGACAAAAAACAAACTGGTCTTAATTGATAGTAAAACAGAAGCCATCATTATTGCTCCACGTCAAAGACAGCAGAAGTGTCAGCTTTCTTCCATTTTCATTGGGCAACCCTCAATCCCCTTCTCTTCCTCTGTAAGAAATCTTGGTGTTTATTTTGACTCACATTTAACTAATATGAAAAGTCATATCAACCACTTATGCAAAATATATCACTTCCATCTCCGCAATATTGGTTCCCAACGCAACATCTTAACCATGGAAGCAACGACCACCCTCGTTCGATCTGTAGTTCTATCACGCTTGGACTACTGTAATAGTTTACTAATTGGTATCTCTGATGAGCAATTACAGCGTCTCCAGAAAATACAGAATCAGGCTGCTCGCATCGTCACAAGGACAAAGCTACACTCTCATATTACGTCAGCTCTCAGTTCTCTTCATTGGCTCCAGATACGCGAGAGGATTGAATTTAAACTGCTCTCCCTTGTCTATCAGTCTATTAATAACATTGGCCCAGCATACCTCCAGGACTTGATAACACTGTACAAACCGGAAAGATCTCTCCGCTCCAGTGATCAACTCTTGCTAGTTGTCCCTGTGATCAAACTCAAAACCTTTGGTGCAAATTCATGTTCCCATGCTGCTGCCCCCCTCTGGAACTCTCTACCATCAGATCTTAAGACCTCCGTGTCACTGCTAAGCTCAAAAAGCTCTTCAAGAAATATTTGTGAACGCCAACTTTGCTGTACGTGAAAGTCACGGGTTTGACTCTCCACATGAGTAATTTGTATGAAGCTCATTTCTGGTGTTTACTGTTGTGATATTGCTGGAACACTGAAACAGTCATAAAAAACTTTTATACTCATTTTGTATAATGGCCGTTGAAAGACTTGATAATTAACCACTTTGTTGTGATTTGTAGGTGACGGTACGTACGTCACACACGTTTACTTTTTCACAGTGTTTATTCATTGCAGGTACAGTGCATGTCCAGCGTATATTGTTTTTGAAAATGGTAAATTCAACATCATTGAATAATGTTTCCTTGGACAACCTAGCAGCACTTTTGCCATACAGTCTGGAGATCATGTTTGTCCCATTAGATTGTCTAAGTACAGTATTAGTGTTGGAGAGTTTTGTTGTTGGAATAAATTTGATTAAAATGGACAGTTCACAAAAATCGTTTCCTTTCAAATATACATGCATGCATCTTACACGTGTATGTTGTGTACAGCAGACAAACAGAGATGATTAAAATGTATTTGGAACAATGATCTTTGTAGACACCTTGCAAAGTATAATGTGATGATTCTAGATATTTTACAACAAATGCGAAAAAAGGACCTGACAGAAATCCTGGTTAAGCAGGGTTGCCAGTGTGTACTGTTACATTCAGTAACATCAACAGATCTTGCCATCATGCACTACTCCCTCACCTACTGTGACGTCACAATAAGCGATCTTGCAGTTTGTAAATCATAATGACGCCATGACGATGGTGTATAGATTCAAACATTTTATAAAAAACTTTATCTGAAAAGTGAAGTGTTAACTGGAGGTGAACACACTACGAATCAAAGTAGAGTTATGTTAAATTTGGAACCAAATGAGCAGCATTTGGCTTCAAATGTTTATTTAGTGTTGTTAAATCTACAGGTTGTCTAGATCTGCACCATAATGCAGTATGTTTCTTTTCTTTCTACCATGAATAAATAGCACGTTAAGCTGAATAGAAAATATGGAACTGGGTGCAATATGTTATGCGGTGTGTGCATCTGAATGACAGCTTCTGAACAAAAATGTTTATATACTCAAACAGTTATATTTCACGGTAATATTCGGCACGAACACATGAAAAGCATAGAAGCCAAGTAGACCAGCAACGTCGTCAGCTGACATGAAGCGGGAACCCTAGAGGAAAGCCTTGCAATATGACAATACGGGACGCTTGATCATCCTCCAACATCTGCCGCTATCAGTATGTACCAGATGACAGTTATGATGGGGCATCACTTTTGTCTTTAGGCGGTGCTTGGGGCAAAGATTGTCGCTTAAAGGAGAAAACTAACGCCAATTTTTTTTCATAGGGGTAACAGTATTCTAAAAGTCACCTTTCGTGATTAAAATTGAACAAAAACTTTTAATATCGCAATAAACGCCGAAAACACACTCTTATTTCCGCCTATTACGGAAACACCCGACAGTTAATGCAGAAGCAGATATCACGTGACATGACGTCATATGTACCTATTGCCAATGGCTTCCTCTTTGATTTTGCTGGACAACTTGACAGTGACCATGGATTCTGAAGCAGTAAAAGATGTTTCCGATGTCATTTTTGACATGGATGTTAGACCGTATCAGTACAAGCCGATTTTAGAAATTGCAAGAGAAAATTCCAGTGAAAATGAAGAAGAATCAAGCGAAACGGAGGCAAGTCTTTGTTACACGTCCTGGATGCAAACTGTTTTGAACCGCAGTTTAAACATGAACGTATCTATCTCGAAATTGGTTGAAATTCAATATGAGGCGCTCCATGAGTTTCCATGGAAACGCATGTTTTCATGTTTCCATGGAGGTTTTGGCTCCTACCGACATCTACAGAAAACAATATGTAGAAGTACACAAAAATTAAACTACGTGGTAATAAAGTTACTTATTCGGGAGTTTTACAAGTTCAGCACAAAGAGCAGCCATCACAGCAGAGTGGGGAGAGGCGTAGGATGGGCGCTATGCTTTTGGATCCTAATTACATGTATTGGGACGTTTGGCTGCGCTGATTTTGTAATCATTCTGTTAAGTATTTCGGTTTTTGTTTATAAAGATTGTTTACTTGTCGGATAGGTGCACATTAAGGAAGCATTGCAGCTTTTATTTTATGCCATGTGAATCCAACCCTTTTCCTGGCTAAATCTGTCTTCTTTGTTTGGAATTGGGATACATGTTTCTGATGACTTTATCATTTAGAAGATAAATAGTTTGGTTTGTTCAATTTCCGGGATTCATTGGAATTCAACATAGGCAAATTTAGTTTAAAACCGACGGCGTTATCGATTTTGTAAACCAATTTGTAGTGAGAAGCCTTTTCCAAGGAGTTCTTTGAATGTAGCGCGATCGTTTGTCGCAATGCGGTTAGCCTCTCGTGGTCAAGTTCGCTGTCGCCCCAGATACGAGAAACGACAAAAGAAGGGTTACGCTATTATCTAATGGGGGAGATAGGTTACGTCATGTTCGAAATGAATAACTGTCACTATAATACACAAAACAAAATGTATTCAGTCATTTTTAAAATTAAACTTGATGAGTAACATTACAATCTCAATTACTGCAATACCACTGGAATTGCAATGACAATGAAAGAATTCCATTTTATGCTACCTTCTCCACCTCATGTAATCTTACGTAGACTGGTCCAATCAAGAATGACCACAAGGATTTGATCGTGTAAAGTTAGTCCTACTTAGGAGATAAACCTAGTGTGTTTGAAAATCAGAGACATGCTTTACTGAATTGATGGCGACTAAATTTCAATTGGAACCGAACGCAGTGAAGCGCAATGAAATCAAACGCATTTTTAATCCAAAAATTTCCAATTGCCTATGTGGAATATTCGAAAGTCAGCGTCAAAATCCATGGAGTTGTTGTTATGATCCGCCATCATTGTGGTCAAACGGAAGTAGTTCTCACAATAAGATTTGTTAATGCGCGGTGAAGCGGCCTTACAATCAGATGAGCGTCAATCCACAATTGATGCCGTCTGATTTTTCTGAACAACCAATCAGAATCTAGTATTTTCTTGATTCATGGTAGAATGTCGATTAACGAAGCTGACATTTATGGTAGAATTGTGTATGCCCTGAAACATTCCCATCACGGATACAATTGAAGAACTTTGCGAGTGTGAAAAGGGCCAAGATGATGAAACAGTGGCAACGGCACGAGAATCGACGCGTTGGCGATCAGACCCTTGCAAAATGGCCGAGTACGACCTCTTCTGTACACTGCTGGATTCGGTGCAGTATGATTTTAAACTTTCAACTCGATTCCGGCATGGGATAGCAGAATGACGGCTGTTGCGCGAAGGCAGTGATTTGTGTATGTGTGTGGCAACTTGGCATTCTTGGAGATGTTTTTCATCATTTGTGACAGTGAATTTTTGCCAACGCATCGTGACTGAAGTGAGGTGTACCCAACAGAATCGCAGATATCGACGACAGATTTCGGATGTTGAAAGAACGATTCATTATTGGGATTCATGTGGGATTTGTCGTATGAAGGATGAAACCGGACACAAAAGGTAAGATTTCAACATTTTTAATTGTTTTGATATGCTTGGGCTTGTGTCAGTGGGATTTTTCTAGACTGCATTAGTACCTTTTCATTATTACCGATTAGTATTTATTTTTTGCTATTTTAGTATATCATAATATTATCATTCAGTGTTAGATCAGATGTTAATCTTGTTGAAAGCTGTTTTTGAGAAATAATAACTATATTTGTTTTTTATGCCTTTGATAATTCTGTTTAGAAGCCTTGTGACAGTCTAGCGAAAGGGAGGTAACTAACATGTAATTTCCTTTTGGTTTGTTTACAAAATGTTAAACGTTGCACACCTCTGAAGAAAATTGTATTTCTCTCAGTTGCTTTCGATAATGACCCATCAATTATTTCCCTCAGGCCATTCTCATCAACCTTAGCAAAGCGGGACTGTGGAGGGACGCTCGGTGTACAAGATGGAGCCGGGTCAGCGTTAGCGCTGGAATTTCGAAGTGGAAACGTCCGGAGTGCTGGCATTGGTGTATTTTGGAAGATCATTATCTAGAAACTAGTATCATTAACTTATTCTTTGGCTGAATAATAATCTTTAAACTTGGAATATTGTACCAAATTAAATACTCGAATGCTTGAAATTTGCGGAGCAGTTCATTTGTGAATAAACATCATTGAAGGATATTATTTTATGGCTCTTCAATCACTTTACTGTTATCTGATCACATATGATTATGTGCCATGTGATTGTATACACCATCATCTTTGAATAATTCTTCCAAGAATTTGTCGTCTTCAAAGATTGTATCAAAATCCCAGAGAAAGAATTTGAGGTGGTAATGTTCCTCAATTATGCAAATTCATGCAGCGAAAATAGTACGGTATTAGTGCCAACGTATTAATGTGCGGTTATTAGGCCATCATTTTCAGGTATGTCGAACAATATTCGACAAGGGTAATTAACCAATCCGATTGCGGAAAGCACTCACTATTGGTTTACAATACCCGGTATTCTCCTTGTACCAAGCACATCAAACGTGGATGTGTAGTTTCTTTGGTAATGCACCATGTTTCCTATTTCAAACATCAAAAACAAAAGAGCTAGCTACGCAAAATATTTCCTGAATCTCCATGCTTGCCACAAGAACGTCGTTATTAGCTGTCTTACACTGTGACCAACCACTGTTTGCAAAAGGTTTAATAATTGTGATGCTCACATATCATGATTTAATGTACCATACAATGGAGGCAACAAAACACATTTGTTGTGTAATGATAGCATAAAATAGTCCCGAGGACACATTCATCGTTGCTTTCCAATAATACAGAGCAATTAAAATGCAATTTATGCTCACATAGCATGTATGTTGACATAGATCTCAGTGGTTTGTGATTATAATTAAAGAGAAGTCACAGGTGTTGATGTCTAGTTGGAGATTGTTTAACATCAAACATATAATAGTTCTCAATATCACGGTTTCGTTATTGATCCCACCGGCAATAACTACAGTGATACTACCAGAACACAGAGGTTGCGTAGAGCACGTAATAGACTTACGTTAACCTGCTGACCAGACGAGGGTCTTGTGTGTTCAGTGTCCTGTACAATCTGCCACTATTTGATGCATATAATTTAATTATTTATGTTTTTTATCGCTATGGTAAACAAACCCTAACGAGAACGACAAGAAGAACGAGTGGGGAAGGCTTACCTTGTATTTCACAATATACAAAACAGACATTAAAAAGGAAAGTTACTTTCCGGTCGAATTCCAGATACCCGACAATGCACCTCACATAACATCGAAGAAGATATTTGTGTGAAAATATGTCTCCCCTTATCCACTACAGGTATTACTAGGAAACATGGTTGTTAGCGTTAGGTGGGTCTTAACCTTAAGAAAAATAGTTTTCACAATTAATTCCATTTTGAGTGAAAGAAAAATAGCTGTGAAAAAGTATATGAATGAATCGCTGAAAATCCATAACAACACTGTCGGAAGAAAATGCAAACGGTGATAGCTTTAATTATTCACAATAGAAACGCAACCAACGGGTCCCATGGGTGACAAAACTGACGAAACTGGGATAGGGTCCAGTCTCACTCTGACCCAACTTGATAGGCATGGTCGTGTCCAGTGAAGTCGAAATGAACGTCAAGCTAATGCCAACTTAAGTCTTTGCTGCAAATTAATGTTGGATCAGATATCTTGTGGGCCAAACGTCATCAACGAAAAGACGGAGGGCTCGTTGGAAGTATTCTTCCAACACTCTGAAGACTTGACATGCAAACATACCAATGTCTCATATTGTCAAAGAACTAGATGTTCTATTTCACTCTGGATTGACAATGGAACAGCATGTGACTGATGAGTATAGAAAGTGCTGCATCCACCTCAGGAACATTGGAAACATTCTTCAACTGATGGTGCACCTGCTCGATCCTTGATGCTCTGCATGGACCATTTTCAACAGTCACTTACCCTACCTGCCATCGACCCTGCTAAACAAGGTACGAAGGATCCGAAGCAAAGCAGACATATTTGTGACAAGAAAATTAAGACCTATGTTTTAAGAACTCCACTGGCTTCTATTTGCTCCGAGAGTGGATCTTTTAATCCTTTCCGTGAAATACCAGTATATTCTTGTCCGAGCAATGCAATATTTGATTGAACTGATCCACACGTACATTCCATTATGGTCTTTTTGGCTAATACTCCTGCCTGGAAACAGATCTTTCAGTCTCCCCCAAGAACCCCTTTTCTGGTGTGAAATGTTCCCAATTCTTTCATTATTATCATTCACTTCATACTAGTAAACAAATAATATCTCTTTGAGAGGCATTTTAGAAGTTGTGAAGGTGAAGGAAAACCAAGTTGTATGGATAGTCAACTTCTTAATTGCAATGAGTGCGACGTTTCGGTGTAGGTACTAACACCGTTATACAGAGTACCTGCACCGAAACGTCGCACTCATTGCAATAAAGAAGTTGACCATCCATACAAGATGGTTTTCCTTCAAATAATATTTCTTATAATTTGGGAAAGTCAGACTTATTTCCGAGTTTCCCATGTGTTTTAAGAGTACATATGCAGTCGTTTACATGTATTATGAGTGAACCTAAGGTAATGATTTTCTTTATTTGGACAGGTAATGGATGTTTGTATTGCTGCATAGTTAAATAAGTTCGACAGTGACACCGGTGCTTGTTCGTGAACAGGTGAGGTGAGGTGAAATTGGGTTTAACGTCGTGCTTGAGAATATTTCGCTCATATGACGACGTGCATGCGTGTGTATATGTATGTGCAGCTGCTTGTACTAGCCCAGACTTAAGCTGGTTTTATAGTGCTAGCCCACTGAGATACCATGCCGCAGTGAAGCATGAATACCCCACTCAGACACATTATACTTACTCCGACCCGACCAGTCCTTGTTGTACCCATTAATGCAGAGCGCCAGGCAGGGACCAACAAGCACCATATTTTAACGTCTTTTGGTATGACGCGGTCGGGGAGTTTGTGTACAGTAACCAATAGGACAGAGCTGTAACACTTCAAAAACATTTGACCTGTATATATTTAGCACTCTGGAAAACTGCTACCTCCTGACTTGATCTCGGTTTATGATTGTTTTTTGCTTCACAGCATCATGGAATGACGCTGGACAAACAATCTGCAATTACGGGCCATTTATGTCTTGTGTTAAGCCAATCTTTAAAGCTGTCTCTTCTATTAGCTGATCGTGATTACAGGTTCCGTTAAAATGACCTTCCGTAAATGTGCGACATTGTTTTCTGAAATGGGAGAAGCTGTAATTGGAAAGTAAATACAGTGACAGTGACAAGAACTAATGAGAGCATTTAATGGATACTTTTGGAATAGCGTGTGGTAATGTGAAACAACTGCGTTATCGTCAATCTATTTCATCTGTGCATTCCCTTTGGTTCTTTTATGGCGAGTCTTCTCTACCGGGAGCCTGTGTATCGCCTTGTGAGAACCATCCAGTTTCGTACTGACGTCCATCAACCTTGATTGTGTAGCCTTTGTTTTATGATGTTGGACCGGTGTAGGGTCCTAGCACTGTGTTTGTGTCTATGTGGAGTCTGCAGTCTTCAGTCTGCTACTGATCAGGGTCCTCTGTACGCCGTATATAACGACCTCCTTGAGAACTACAAGACGTATACCAGACCCAGGAAGAACTCCAGTGAGACTGTGGATGTGCTGGTCTCCTACAGTCTGGCATCTGTTGAAGCCTTGGAGGAGAACACTCAGACACTCATTTCAACTGGTTACTTATGGCTTGAATGGACGGATGTCCTACTGAGGTGGAACTCAGATAGATACGGTAATATTACCAATATAACAATACCTGTTGAAAAGCTGTGTTTTCCAGACCTGGTCCTGCTAAATGGATTAGATGACCCGCCTCTCATATACCCGGACGGGGAAACAGCAAGGGTAAGCAACGACGGAATGCAAGAACTGGCGAAGAACCTGATAGCGTTGATGAGTGTGTATCAGATGCAATTGGAGATGAGGATATTAAGTATATATTCGACACAGTGACTACAAAACGTCGTCTTTGCGATAAAGTTTTGAATCATTCTGGTAAAAAACTACTCCATTGGTGTGCCGCCTTGAGCTTGTTCATAATGAATGGTCGTTGTGGTCAGGATGCCGGTATTTCCTGGAAATTCTGTACGTAGGTACATTTAACAGTTGCACCCACTAATAGTAAACATACAGATAATACGTTCTGGTACTTTGATAGATTAATAAGTACACATTGGGAATGAGGCAGTTCGTATTCCCCATTTATAAATTAAACGAAAAGTCAAAATAATTATGTCTGAACATTTAATACACCAAAACCGAAACAAAACAGTAAACCCAATGAAAATCCCCCGCACTGTACATTCACCGAAAGTGTGAATGTTAACTAAGCTTCTATGCTTCCCGATAATGGAAGCAATCTACTAAGTAATTTGTAACTCCTGGCTGGAGCTCGATATGGACGACCCTGTCCCTCAGCAATATGTCTGACTAACTGCCGATGTTAAACTGATTAACGCTGTCGTCAGCTATCCCCACGAAATGCACGAGATTTTAAAACCCACGTACATATACGCATAGCGACGGGTGTATTCGGGCGCGCTGACCCAAGCTAAAACGAAAACATATATTTCCTTCTGTCCACACATTATATTCCATATATTGGGATGCCAAAATGATGAATATTATTATATAATGTATAACAAATCAGACAGTAAAAAGTAAAAAATGAAAACGCATGAGCAACATATATGCTGTCAGGTAGTAAGCTTTCAATAATTATCGAAACTGCTTAGTTATCTAAGCTTATGAACTAATTGCAATCACTAGAATTTTCTATAATCTACCCAAGAGATGGAATCAAAATAGGTGTACAGTATATTCCGTCGTGTAACTGAAATTTGAGAAAACGTCCGTATGGGATAGTATCTGTATTCCGAATCAAAAAGAGGCCACACCAAGTATGTGCATGTTTACACATTTACAACAGTAATTTACATCTGGAATCATTAATACATTGTAATCATCTGTTTTGAAAGTATAGGTAATGACAATTGTGCAGCTATGACCAGTCAGATAACTCATACAAGTGTTCACTAGAATAAGGGACCTACCGGTTCATGTCTGTTTGAACACATCTGTCTGTGTTTTATTGCAATAAGCAGTGTCTTTTTGTATGTAATATATAAAAGGGGACCTAAGATCAGTTATTTAAACTGTAATGTAATTTCCGTTACAAAAAGTGTATAAACGATATTAGCTACTGATAGGAAAGGCTAATCAGTACCCCACCGCCACCACCTCACCCTAGGCCTATCCCATCAAACACCCGCTCACACACATGCACACACACACACACACACACATGCACACACTCCCTAACATACATATCGCCTGCTCAAAGACCCGATATTTGAACCTTTTAAACAGACATCATATGTACGTCAAGAAAGGCACGCACGTTAATAGTGGTGCTCAGTCATGGGTATCACTTCGCCATGTGTTTCTAATGATCCCAGTGCATTATGGCATGGTCGGACGCGCTAACGAACCCGATGTGACAGTTATATTAAAGAACCATTGAAATACATGTTAAAGTAGTGTCAATATGTAACACTCTTTTTACCCATTACCAACTATTTACGCGTGTACTAAATATATGACAAACCTAACCCTGGTCATACGAGATTTCAAAGGTATTGAAATGCAAGTCCTACAATCACAGCATTTACATATGTTACACATGCTAGAAAACACATGAAAACAATGGCCAGATTTACACACCTGTGAAATACATGTAAATGTAGAGCTGAGTGTTCGTTTATTTTAACACCTCTTTAAACGTGTGTAAATCTGACAGCCAGATGATACGTAGATTTCAAACGTTGTTCATATGGCCGCCGGATGAAACGTAGATTTCCTAACGTTAGTAAATTTGAGTAATACAGTCATTTTGTGTGGTGAAACAAGCATAATTGTGACAAAAACTGTTATACACTTCCATATAACACAAATGTTTAAACTCTCCACTGGCCTCCACTTGCTGCAGTCCTTTCCATGACATACCAGTGTATTCATGTCCAAGCTCCCCTAGAATATCTGTTATAATTTCGGATATTCTGACTTATTTCCGAGTTTCCCATGTCTTTTAAGAGTACACATGCAGTCGTTTATATGCATTATGAGTAAGGTAATGCTTTTCTTCATTTGGACAGCTAATGGATGTTTGTAATGCTGCATAGTTAAACACGTTCGACAGTGACACCGGCGCTCGCTTGTGTACAGTAAACAATAGGGCAGAGCTGTAACACATCAAACACATTGGACCTGTATATATCTAGCACTCTGGAAAACTGCTACCTCCTTACTTGATCTCGCTTTATGATTGATTTTGCTTCACAGCACCATGGAATGACGCTGGACAAACATTCAGTTATTACGGAACAATTATGTCTTGTGTTAAGCCAGTATTCAAAGCTGTCTCTTCCATTAGCTGATCGTGATTACAGGTTAGGTTAACATGACCTTCCGAAAATGTGCGACATTATTTTCTAAAATGGGAGGAGCAACGATTGTAAAGAAAATACAGTGACAGTGACAAGAACTAATGAGAGCATTTAATGGATATTTTTTGGAATAGTGGTAATGTGAAACAACTACGTGATCGTCAATCTATTTCACATGTACATTCCCTTTGGGTCTTTTATGGCGCCCCTGCTCTACCGGAGCCTGTACATCGCCTTGTGAGAATCATTCAGTTGCGTACTGACGTCCATCAAGCTTGATTGTGTACCCTTTGGTTTATGATGTTGGACCGGTGTAGGGTCTTAGCACTGTGTGTCTTTCTGAGTGGAGTCTGCAGTCTTGAGTCTGCTACTTACCAGGGTCCTCTGTACGCCGTATATAATGACCTGCTTGAGAACTACAAGACGTATATCAGACCCAGGAAGAACGCCAGTGAGACTGTGGATGTGCTGGTCTCCTACAGTCTGGCATCTGTTGAACCCTTGGAGGAAAACACTCAGACACTCATTTCAACTGGTTACGTATGGCTTGAATGGACGGACGACCTGCTGACGTGGAACTCAGATAGATACGGTAATATAACCAATATAACAATACCTGTTGAAAAGTTGTGGTTTCCAGACTTGCTCCTGCTAAATGGATTAGATGACCCGCCTCTCATATACCCGGACGGAGAAACAGCAAGGGTAAGCAACGATGGACGTGTACAGTGGTACAAATGGATAAGAAAACGTACGAAATGCCCTTTAGACATGAGGAAGTTTCCGTTTGATACCCAAACGTGCAGTATCAACTTTCTCCAATGGTCTTCTGTAATTAAAGAAATTAATATGACAGTAGACTGGGTCCAAATAGAACCAACTATATTTCAACGAAATGGAGAATGGGAAATAGTAGGAAAGTTAGAGCATGCACTTGTTCATTCATATGCTGAGACTCTTATTCAGACAGAGATGGTTTTCACATTCGTCTTTAAACGCAAGTACCTCTATTACGTCATCACCAACATCCTTCCCGTCATGCTTCTCTCCGTCCTTAACCTTGGTGTGTTTTTGCTTCCACCGGAGACTGGGGAGAAGGTATCGCTGTGTATATCCATTGTGCTGTGCTACGCAGTCTACATGTCTGCCATCAGTGGACGTCTACCGGAAGTGTCCGATACTGTCAGCATCTTCAGCATTTACCTTCTTGCAATGATGTTTCTCAAGGTCACGACAACGTTGATTACTGTTGCCATTTTGAACGTTTACCATGGAGACAGAGCAAAGGACGTTTCGTGTGGAAACTCCCCGAGCCGTAGAATAAATGAGACAGAAAACGAATCTCCATCACATGATACATGCGATCGTGCACCTGAGAACATGTCTGAACGGAAGAGAGGAGCAAGAGGGAGGAAACAGCTTGCTTCACTTTTAAACAAAATCGGTTTCAGCGTTATATTTTGTTTGACAGTCACCCTCACCATTGTTTGTTTTGTCCTACTTTTGAAACTGTAGTAAGTATGTTTAAATACTGCATACTATAATTGTTGACAAGGATTACCTGTTGTTTCTTTTGCTCTGCTCTTGAAAATGTAGTTGGAGTAGGTACATTTGACTACTGTATGTTGTTTCATTTATAATTCTATCATCAGCATGGGTATTTTTATAGAAACATCTACCGTTCTACTTCCCAGGCGGATTATCTACTCTCAATAGGCATTGAAAAACGATGTGCATCTCAAAACTCATTGAATGTTTCAAGGCCGTGGGTTATTGTAAAACACAGGACTCACAAGCAAATATACTTGAAATTGAGAGTATATGGACTGACTTTTGTATTGCTGTAATGCAACCACTCTGCTATTATACAACTTCAGAGAAACCATAATCAACAAACCATACATTGGGCAACACTTTTATGCTGATGACTCCCAATTGAGGACAGCTTTAAACCAAGTCCAGACAGTCAGCAAAAGGCCAAGGATAACATGGAGTCTTATCTCAATGATGTCAAGTCATTGAATGACAAAAAACAAACTGGTCTTAATTGATAGTAAAACAGAAGCCATCATTATTGCTCCACGTCAAAGACAGCAGAAGTGTCAGCTTTCTTCCATTTTCATTGGGCAACCCTCAATCCCCTTCTCTTCCTCTGTAAGAAATCTTGGTGTTTATTTTGACTCACATTTAACTAATATGAAAAGTCATATCAACCACTTATGCAAAATATATCACTTCCATCTCCGCAATATTGGTTCCCAACGCAACATCTTAACCATGGAAGCAACGACCACCCTCGTTCGATCTGTAGTTCTATCACGCTTGGACTACTGTAATAGTTTACTAATTGGTATCTCTGATGAGCAATTACAGCGTCTCCAGAAAATACAGAATCAGGCTGCTCGCATCGTCACAAGGACAAAGCTACACTCTCATATTACGTCAGCTCTCAGTTCTCTTCATTGGCTCCAGATACGCGAGAGGATTGAATTTAAACTGCTCTCCCTTGTCTATCAGTCTATTAATAACATTGGCCCAGCATACCTCCAGGACTTGATAACACTGTACAAACCGGAAAGATCTCTCCGCTCCAGTGATCAACTCTTGCTAGTTGTCCCTGTGATCAAACTCAAAACCTTTGGTGCAAATTCATGTTCCCATGCTGCTGCCCCCCTCTGGAACTCTCTACCATCAGATCTTAAGACCTCCGTGTCACTGCTAAGCTCAAAAGCTCTTCAAAGAAATATTTGTGAACGCCAACTTTGCTGTACGTGAAAGTCACGGGTTTGACTCTCCACATGAGTAATTTGTATGAAGCTCATTTCTGGTGTTTACTGTTGTGATATTGCTGGAACACTGAAACAGTCATAAAAAACTTTTATACTCATTTTGTATAATGGCCGTTGAAAGACTTGATAATTAACCACTTTGTTGTGATTTGTAGGTGACGGTACGTACGTCACACACGTTTACTTTTTCACAGTGTTTATTCATTGCAGGTACAGTGCATGTCCAGCGTATATTGTTTTTGAAAATGGTAAATTCAACATCATTGAATAATGTTTCCTTGGACAACTAGCAGCACTTTTGCCATACAGTCTGGAGATCATGTTTGTCCCATTAGATTGTCTAAGTACAGTATTAGTGTTGGAGAGTTTTGTTGTTGGAATAAATTTGATTAAAATGGACAGTTCACAAAAAATCATTTCCTTTCAAATATACATGCATGCATCTTACACGTGTATGTTGTGTGTACAGCAGACAAACAGAGATGATTAAAATGTATTTGGAACAATGATCTTTGTAGACACCTTGCAAAGTATAATGTGATGATTCTAGATATTTTACAACAAATGCAAAAAAGGACCTGACAGAAATCCTGGTTAAGCAGGGTTGCCAGTGTGTACTGTTACATTCAGTAACATCAACAGATCTTGCCATCATGCACTACTCCCTCACCTACTGTGACGTCACAATAAGCGATCTTGCAGTTTGTAAATCATAATGACGCCATGACGATGGTGTATAGATTCAAACATTTTATAAAAAACTTTATCTGAAAAGTGAAGTGTTAACTGGAGGTGAACACACTACGAATCAAAGTAGAGTTATGTTAAATTTGGAACCAAATGAGCAGCATTTCGCTTCAAATGTTTATTTAGTGTTGTTAAATCTACAGGTTGTCTAGATCTGCACCATAATGCAGTATGTTTCTTTTCTTTCTACCATGAATAAATAGCACGTTAAGCTGAATAGAAAAAATATGGAACTGGGTGCAATATGTTATGCGGTGTGTGCATCTGAATGACAGCTTCTGAACAAAATGTTTATATACTCAAACAGTTATATTTCACGGTAATATTCGGCACGAACACATGAAAAGCATAGAAGCCAAGTAGACCAGCAACGTCGTCAGCTGACATGAAGCGGGAACCCTAGAGGAAAGCCTTGCAATATGACAATACGGGACGCTTGATCATCCTCCAACATCTGCCGCTATCAGTATGTACCAGATGACAGTTATGATGGGGCATCACTTTTGTCTTTAGGCGGTGCTTGGGGCAAAGATTGTCGCTTAAAGGAGAAAACTAACGCCAATTTTTTTTCATAGGGGTAACAGTATTCTAAAAGTCACCTTTCGTGATTAAAATTGAACAAAAACTTTTAATATCGCAATAAACGCCGAAAACACACTCTTATTTCCGCCTATTACGGAAACACCCGACAGTTAATGCAGAAGCAGATATCACGTGACATGACGTCATATGTACCTATTGCCAATGGCTTCCTCTTTGATTTTGCTGGACAACTTGACAGTGACCATGGATTCTGAAGCAGTTAAAGATGTTTCCGATGTCATTTTGGACATGGATGTTAGACCGTATCAGTACGAGCCGATTTTAGATCTTGCAAAAGAAAATTCCAGTCAAAATGAAGAAGAATCAAGCGAAACGGAGGCACTTTCAATGTCTTTTGTTACACGTCCTGATGCAAACTGTTTTAACCGCAATTTAAACATGAACGTATCTATCTCGAAATTGGTTGAAATTCAATAGGAGGCGCTCCATGTTTGGAAACGCTCCTACCGACATCTACAGAAAAACAATATGTAGAAGTAATTACAAAAATTAAACTACGTGGTCATAAAGTTACCTATTCGGGAGTTTTACAAGTTCAGCACAAAGAGCAGCCATCACAGCAGAGTGGGGAGAGGCGTAGGATGGGCGCTCTGCTTTTGGATCCTAATTACATGTATTGGGACGTTTGGCTGAGCTGATTTTGTAATAATTCTGTTAAGTATTTCGGTTATTGTTTATAAAGATTGTATACTTGTTGGATAGGTGCACATTAAGGACGCACTGCAGCTTTTATTTTATGCCATTTTGCTACTTGTAAAGCCCGTGGGGAATCCCCTGACGTCATTATGAAGCCTATTGACACCTGTGAATCCAAACCTTTCTCCTGGCTAAATCTGTCTTTTGCTTTTGGAATTGGGATACACGTTTCTGATGACTTTATCTTTACCCAGTCATATATTTTCCAGTATTCTCCTTCAACAAAGCACATCAAACGTGGATGTGTAGTTTCATTTGTAATGCACCATGTTTCCTATTTCAGACATCAAAAACAAAAGAGCTAGCTTCGCAAAATATTCCCTGAATCTCCATGCTTGCCACAAGAACGTCGTCATCAGCTGTCTTACACTGTGACCAAACACTGTTTTGTAAAGGGTTTTAATAACTGTGATGCTCACATATCATGATTTAATGTACCATACAATGGAGGCAACGAAACACATTTGTTGTGTAATGATTGCATAAAATAGTCTCGAGGACACATTCATCGTTGCTTTCCAATAATACAGAGCAATTGAAATGCTATTTATGCTCACATAGCATGTATGTTGACATAGATCTCAATGTGGTTTGTGATTATAATTAAAGAGAGTCACAGGTATTGATGTCTAGTTGGAGATTGTTTAACATCAAACATATAATAGTTCTCAATATCACGGTTTCGTTATTGATCCCACCGGCAATAACTACAGTGATACTACCAGAACACAGAGGTTGCGTAGAGCACGTAATAGACCTACGTTAACCTGTTGACCAGACGAGGGTCTTGTGTGTTCAGTGTCTTGTACAATCTGCCACTATTTGATGCATATTTTTAATTATTTATGTTTTGATCGCTATGGTAAAACAAACCCTAACGAGAACGAGAAGAAGAACGACTGGGGAAGGCTTACCTTGTATTTCACAATATACAAAACAGACATTAAAATGGAAAGTTACTTTCCGGTCCAATTCCAGATACCCGACAATGCAGTGACATAAGAGACCTAATTGTAATGAAAGACATGTTGGTACCCGCTTCTGAAGAACAAGGAGCTTTCAGTAAGCAACTGCATAGATCTCACTAACACACCATGGTTCCTCAAAAGAGGAAATTCTTGTCCAGATGAATAATAACAATGCAGTTCCAAGAGACAGACGTAATTGGATTCGCAGGTTAAAGAACAAAATGCTCACCATCCACGAACTGGGGTCAACCAACCACTGACTCAGCTGCAAGATTTCCTCGCGTGGGTGATTGCTTGTGAGACATTTGTAGACTTCTCAAAACGAAGATGGGGGTTATAGTTTCTTTTACCAGGGATATGTGCCAAGAATCAAAGTTCAGTGCCTAACCATCTTCTTCTGATATGTTGGCATCTAATATAAAGTGTTGATACAGTCACCCAGTAAATCGTAACGACTAATGCGTATCCTATGCTCGAAACTGCAAAAGTATAAAGACAATATACATGCTCAAGCACATGTCTTTATCACCTCACATAACATTGAAGAAGATATTTGTGTGAAAATATGTCTCACCTTATCCACTACAGGTATTACTAGGAAACATGGTTGTTAGCGTAAGGTGGGTCTTAACCTTATGAAAAAATACTTGTCACAATTAATTCCATTTTGGGTTAAGGAAAAATAGCTGTGAAAAGTATGTGGATGAATCGCTGAAAATCCATGACAACACTGTCGGAAGAAGATGCACACGGTGATAGCTTTAATTTTCACAATAGAAACGAAACCAACGGGTACCATGGGTGACAAAACTGACGAAACTGGGATAGGGTCCCGTCTCACTCTGACTCAAAATGATAGGCATGGTCGTGTCCAGTGAAGTCGAAATGAACGTCAAGCTAATGCCAACTTATGTCTTTGCTGCAAATTAATGTTGGATCAGATATCTTGTGAGCCAAACCTCATCAACGATGAAAAGACGGAGGGCTCGTTGGAAGTATTTTTTCAACACTCTGAAGACTGGACATGCAAACATACCAATGTCTCATATTGTCAAAGAACTAGATGATCTATTTCACTCTGGATTGACAATGGAACAGCATGTGACTGATGAGTATAGAAAGTGCTGCATCCACCTCAAGAACATTGGAAACATGATGGTGCACCTGCTCGATCCTTGATGCTCTGCATGGACTATTTTAAACAGTCACTTACCCTACCTGTCATCGACCCTCCTAAACAAGATACGAACGATCCGATGGCGACATATTTGTGACAAGACAATTAAGACCTATGTTTTAAGCACTCCACTGGTTTCTATTTGCTCCAAGAGTGGATCATTTAATCCTTTCCATGAAATACCAGGTAGAGTCTTGTCCCAGCAAATCCATATTTGATTGAACTGATCCACACGTACATTCCATTATGGTCTTTTGGCTAATACCCCTGCCTGGAAACAGATCTTACAACCTCCCCAAGAACCCCTTTCTGGTGTGAAATGTTCCCAATTCTTTCATTATTATCATTCACTTCATACTAGTAAACAAATAATATCTCTTTGAGAGGCGTTTTAGAAGTTGTGAAGGTGAAGGAAAACCAAGTTGTATGGATAGTCAACTTCTTTATTGCAATGAGTGCAACGTTTCGGTGTAGGTACTAACACCGCTATCAAGCATTACCTACACCGAAACGTCACACTCATTGCAATAAAGAAGTTGAAAATCTTTTAAACAAAATCGGTTTCTGCATTATATTTTGTTTGACAGTCATTCTCACCATTGTTTGTTTTGTCCTGCTCTTGAAAATGTAGTAAGCATGTTTGTCTACTAGATGTTATCGTTATTCGCAAGGGTTATTATCTATTTCAATTGAAGCTGTACAAACAGCAGGGTATTTATTTACCTTTTATCCTGAAAATGCTGTTTGATTACTTCAGACATCATTTAATGTTTCACAATGCATATCTATTGTTTTAAAATGTAGTGAAATTCTTTTTAATTCTACTAGATCATTATTGCCAGGTTTTTCTCAATATATGTTTTCTTCTATAACAAGCGCATCTATTTTTGTGCATTTGTCCTGGGTCGCATTCAGTATTCATATTGTTTTAATACTTCATGTTTTACACATTATTTTGCACGTATAAAGAAACATTTTAAAAAAGTCCATGTTTTAAAAAAACAAACAACCAACATTATAAATCACATTTTCTTATCTTTTCATCAGCAGCACATTTTGGTCTCAAAGATATGTTATCAATTTGTGATAATGAAATACATGGTCAACGATTCAATAGATGCATATTAGAGTTGTCTATCGATATAGTCATTTGTAATAGTTAACTAATATTAATCGATTGCAGATACATTTCTGTAACATAACTGGGGAAACATGACAAAGAACCAAAAGAAACCGTCAAATTCCAACATAGTTCATGTACAGTGTGAGAGGCGACATTCTTATGAAATGATTAGCAGCACAAAACACTTTCTGAGTGAGCGAGTATGGTTTTACGACGTTTTTAGCAATATTCAGTAATATCACGGAGGGGGCACCAGAAATGGGCTTCACACATTGTACCCATGTGAGGAATAAACATGTTCTGAACATATGTAACTTTGCTAGCGCATAATATTGGATACAGTATTGTGTGTGTAAATGATATCTGTGTTCCATCACCATAATGTATGCAAAATATTATCAATGACAATTCTAAGATCAATAATCGTTACAAGTTCTCATATTTCTGATTTTTTAACCAGACCTAATGATGCTATCATCGTCTGAAGTCCCTACAAAAAGCCAGGCGGAACCATTATTGTCAGTAAGAATTGTCTTGACTGTACATATTAGATGCGTCTCTAACATATAACAGTGTAGCACCCCATCACGACACGTTAGCACATCCACGAAAGCGTTCGCACGTCACGCAGAAGACCCGGGTTTGATTCCCCACATGGGTACAATGTGTGAAGCCCATTTCTGGTGTCCCCACCGTGATATTGATTGAATGTTGCTCAAAGCTGCGTGAAACGCAAATCCACTCACTCTGAGTGAAGCATTCAAAGAATAACTAGACTACATCTAGAATGAACTATATTAAGCATGAAAAGAAATTTCAGTCTGGTCGGTCAAGTTTTCAAGTCAGCTGCGTTACAATGATTTGCACGTATGGAGTTGAGTAAAGAGTTCGGTACGCAAGGATAAAATGGGAGATCACTCTGGTAATATACTTGATCTTACATCAAATAATTATATATCTGAAGAGTTTGTTTTTTCAGAAACGATCAGTGAACGGGGCTGAGAGTGAGTTAAGATACTGCACCTCCCTCTGAAACTGCAACAGTTCAAAATACGGAAATGGTTAGGTTGGTTCTCTTTCAAGCATGTCACAACTCCCCACTAAATTGAGTTCTGTAACAACATTGCCAATCTGAACTGTCCTGATAGACTTGAGGAGGCGCTAGTAGTTTCTGATGTAACGGCGTAGAGTGAAACATATGTGACATGCTTTTTAACGTATATATTCCGGTGTAGTCATATATCATAGTTTACATGTGAATGTTTGCTGTACCACATTTATTGTTAACTGTTATTAAAGTGGCCTAAAAGTTTCACATCGTATAGTACATTCTTGATGGGTCAGTATGGTTCAAACAGAATAGAGAGAAAACACATGCTTTTCTCAGATATTTGTCTTTCCCCTACCCTTGCTGAATTTAACATAGACATAGATATGATTTGTTATGAATTTTATAAATTTATGTAAGTTGGGAAAACAAATCATAATTCGGAATTGTTAAAAAATTGCCTATATATACCTGATTCTTGGTAAATGAAGTAGAAATAATCTGACATTGAACCAATAAGTTTTCAACAAGACGGAGAAAGGCAACTAGTACAAATATCTGAGGTCATACATGTCTGCTGATATGACAAGATAATTGCTGTTACATGGGTGGTTTTAAATTCGTTTTCAAGCGTAAATAACTGTCTTACATCATCATCCTTCCTGTCATGTTGCCTTCTGTCCTTGACCTTGGTGTGCTTCAACTTTAGCCGAGAGTCGCCCTCCTTGAAGAAGATATCGCTTTATGTACCATGTGCTGTTCTACGCAGCTTTCGTGTCTGTAATTAGTGGAAGTCGAGCGGAAGTGTCAGATACCGTCAGTATCTTCATCATCTACCTCCTCGCGATGATGTTTCTCAGGGTCAATGCAAAGGACTGTTCGTCCGAAGTGGTTGACACCTTCATGTATGATCAAATATACTAACGGAAAAATAGTAACTCCGCATAACATAAAATTACATAAAATAAAATTATTTTAAAAGTGTTTTGAAATGTCTTAACCAACACTATATTTGAATAGTGTAGTGTTAATTAGGGGTTAACACACTACGTATTCAAG